TATCCGATGACTGGATCTTGCAGAGAAAAGACAAAAAAAAGCAGCTCTGTATTCTGAAAACCTTTGGTAACAACCCTCTGTTTCTGGTGGCTGAAGCTTTTTCTTTCTTTTTTTAAAAAACTGGTTAACTTTACTTGGTCTCTTTGGGTTGTCTATCTGCTTTCTCTGACATAACTAATGTGAAGAGGGAGCCTCGTTCTTCTGTGCCCTCCATCTTTATTGACTGTGTACTTTCTCATCATGATTGACATCTGAATGACAGTCTGTGCCAACAGTGCCATCTTCTAAAATGAACACTTATGGACTCCTAGATGGCAGGTGACGCTTTGAGTTCACAGTAGGTCTCTCGCTGTGCCGTTTGTATCTAACTTCCTGCCCCCACTTCCCTCCCAACCTGTTGAAGTCAAGTCTTACTGAGAACTGAAGAATACAAGACAAAAGTATGGCCTTGCAAGAAGACCAGTTAATAAAACCGCTTTGCATTTAACATTTAAAATGTATCGACAACACTACATTATTATACTTCAAACAACTACAGAAAAAGATTTCTTGCACGTTTGCCCTCTTGCCCTGCTACCTTCTAAATCTGTCTTCCTAGGTTAAGCGCTGGATGGTTTTGTGAGTAAGTGTGGATTGTAATGCCTTATAATTGGAAGGAAAGGTGAAATGTTGATTTAAATGTGTAGATTAGCAAGATATCAGCTTAAAAATATTGAAATGTTGAAGGATGCTTCTTGAACAGTGTTCATGTACAGAAGAGGCAAGTCCAGACAAAACCTAAGCACAGTGTGGTTTGTGTAGATATGTCAGCATTGTCCTCTTTTTTTAAAAACGTTACCACCTTTTTATATCTCCAATAGTTTATTCTCCTTTTTATATTGATACATATATATTTTACATTGGGGTAATATGTGTTCCAGGATAGTGCATGCCTTCTGTCATGACTATATGGATGGCAAATTGTGTATGTAGTCAGCACTGGATAGAGGTGTGGAGGACATTCTGTTGAAAAATACAAGCAGGTAAAACAGATTATACTAAACCAGTGGTTCTTCAGGTGTTTTGGACTTCAGCTCTCCCAGTTCCTAACAGCTGGTAAGCTGGCTGGGATTTCTGGGAGTTGATGTCCAAAACATGTGGAGGCCCAAAGGTTGGGAACCACTGCACTAAACTGACTGAATTTGTAACGCTTTTTTGTCCATCAGAGCAGGGATTTATTATATATTTTGGGTCTGAAAACTACTGATGGGAGCTATCTGATCAATTGCAAAAATAATTATAAAAATTCCAAAATGGCAGAACTGCGAAATGTACTGTAGTCCTGAATTTTTTCTTTAGACTGAATCAAAGCCATGAAGTGGGGAGGAAGTTAATGGAAGAGGCTGATGGGTCTGTTTTGTTTGGAAAATAATGTGAATGATGCATCTTTTCAATTCTGTTAATGCTTCCATATGGGAAACAAATGCAATAAACTTTTTCTGACCACTGTTTCTGTGCATTTTTTTGGAAGGGAAATTAAATGCGTAGCTAAAATGATAGAGGAAAAAGTCTGACGAACTAGAACTTGGGTTTCAAATGTTGAAAAACCTTTCCCCACGCCCCCAAAATCAGCCACATCTTTAAATTTGATATAATTGCTTTTGTTCCGTAAGGGAACATTTCTGTTATAAATTCTGTTGTTGCAATTTTGTATTAATATGTCTTTATTACAACCATTGTACTGAATTTGTACAAGACAAACAGGATCTATGAAACCCTATTTTTTTGTATACTGTATATGATGGTGGTTGATTATATTGTATCTAAAGAATCACAATATTTTCCTCCATGAATTATTTGTTAACCTGCAGCTACTCTTCTTTGGTTCCTTTCTGTCTTAATTCACTTGAGTAACAAACCAAGAACAAATCCTGGGTTCTTTCCCTGGTGTGTTGGAAGAGAAAGATAGCTATAGGATATAATAAACAAACTATGTACCAAAATTACTATTTTGGAGTCATTCCCTGGAAGTAAGGTGTCCTTAGCAATTATGTATTTCTTTCATAAAAAAATTGTGGGAAAAATGAATGTTTTCTTTTTCAGTTTGATCATATAGTTAGAATTATGATGCACTGAGCTCAGTTAAACTTCGCCCAAAACATTTCTGCCAAAATCTGCTTATTTGCTACTTTTCTTGTCATTATATCTTCCTTTAAGTTTATTGGATCCATGGAATAATTAAACACTATAATTCTGCCCTGAATAAGACACTTCACAAACTGATCTGTAACATGACAACATTGTTTTCATATTCCATTATTTCCAATTAAGTGCCCACATTAGGGTTTCCAAATACTATACTGACAAGAGATGCAAAACAGTGAAGAAAGAATTAGAAAATAATTTAAAAAACAGGCTTTAGTGATATAAAACTACACTGTGGTGAGAATTTGAAAATGAGTTCATATAGTCCCCTGTGTTAAGTCATAGATCCAAGTGCCTTTCTGGTGCATTCATTCTGTGAGGCAGTCCTAGATTGACTGAGAGGTGGTGAACAATGTTCAAATATTTATAAGCTCGTAGCTGTGAAATTCACTCCCCAGGGAGCCTTGCCTGCTGCCCAAGTGATCTATTTTTGGAACTTGGTGGAGACCTTTTTATTCTTCCAGACTTTTAAACATTCATTGAGATTGTTTAATGCACATTGTTTATTGTGCTGATATTATCCGTTTGTTATTTCTAGCAGTGCTATGTGTTTGGGTGAGTCTGTTTTGGTTGGTTGTTTTTATAAATCACTGGAGATATATCCGTACTGAATTATAGTTAATTGTGTTCATGAAAAGGAGTTATTATATTTGTGTAAAAGAAATCCTGTATTAAACCAAGCCCATCATTTTCTTTCCAAGTTGCATTAATATATATGTGTCTGCAAATGTTTTCTATCCCATTCTTGGTCATTTGGTCTAAACAAGCTGGATATTCCCAACCCAAAGATACTTCTGTTGTGTATATACTACATGCAGTAAATGTCTGTAGTTGCTCCACGACTTACTATTCTGGCCTGCAAGTACGGTGATACAATTTTTGAAAAATGTAATGTTGGGATTTGAACTGTTCATCACTAAACATTTGGAACAGCTTTGCATTGCTCTCATACAAGTATTTTGCATAACTAGCTATAATTACTGGTTTATACAGTCTAGATCAAGCCTCTTCAGTCTGAGGCCTTCTAGATGTTTTGGACTTCCCAGAATTGCTGACCATTGAACAAGCTGACTAGGGCTTCTAGGAGCTGGAGGCCCAAACACTAGGAGGACAGCAGGTTGAAGAGCCCTGGACGAGATCATACCTGCACAATAGGTCTCATCATTTCCTGCAGGGAGGACATACCTTAAGGTTTGCAAATACCCTGTTTACTCGAATCTGATGTTCACCTTTCTTGGCTAGATTACCTTGCCAAAATTAGGGTGCCCATTAGATTCTCGTCATACATTAATCTTAGTGATGAGCCAAAGCAAAAGGCGAAACTGTTTCAGTAAGTGCACCTGGAGATCCTATTTGAGGGACATAATCTCTAATTTAATGACCATGGCTCAATGCTGTGGGTTCCCGCGATTTGTAGTTTGGCAAGGCATCAGCATTCTTTGGCAGAGAAGGTTCAAGACCTTGGATACCTAAGGGGAAATATTGGACTATCTTGCAGCAATGTCATAGAAAGAAGGAAGTGAAACACCACAAACTTTCCCTTATTAACAGAGGCTTCCCTGGTATAAACTAAAGTGTAAAATAATGTTCGTGCTTTTACACAGCTTCCTGCTTCTGTCATATTTTCTAATTCTTCATGGTTCGCCAGCTATGTTGAGTGAGAACCAGGTGTAAAAATCTGAAATAACCGCAGGGGTTATACATTAATAGTTGGTAGTCTGTACAACCCTAGCAAAACCTTGTATTTAACTAGTCAAGGGGCACATGGTTACATAAGACACTAGTCCTTTCAGATCCTTCTGATGAATGTAGAGCAAGTTGTAGTGACATCATGGCATCATATTCCCCCCCGTAAAGCAAATAGATTAATGATAGTGTTTGAAAAGATGCCCTTAAATTGACTTTTCTGTGTATATGTGAGTAGACTCTGCCTCTCCTAAGTTCTTTGAATGGTCAGAGAATAACCCTTCCTATAGGCTAATGCAATAAGCCTTCCTATAGGCAGATGGTGAGATTTTAATACTGAATGTATATATTTTTTAAATGCTTAACTTGTATTAATTTCAACTCAACTGATTTTTAACTTTTTAATGTCTGTATGTGTTGCAAGGCATTGAATAAATGCCTTGAGTCTCCTTCAGGGTAGAGAAAGGCAGGGTATAAATAGGGTAAAGAAATAAAGAAATAAAACTGTTAAAAAAATTTTAATGGTGGTTTAAGTTTTTTGCAAGGTGTGTGCTAAGACTTGCAATATTTAACTATTAAGCTATTTAAAACATTTTGACCCATCTAAAGGTCCCCAGTTTATCTAGTAACAGATTTGCTCCCAGTGTTTTTGTAATGCTAATGCAAATATCAACCATGGGTTTTAGCTAGAATCAGAAGAGGCATTCCTCATTTCCTCTCACATAGGATTAAATAGGAATTTGAACATGGCACCTGCTGTGATGTGAAGAAGTCTAATCTAAAAACAAGACTATTTGCTTTAGAGCTATCTGTAGACACTTTCACCTGCTACAACTTTCTGGCAAGTGTTTCTTTCATCAAATGTCTGCCTTAAAACAAATTCCATGAAAAAAATGAAAAAAATGTTGGGAGCTGCATAGGAATAACTGAGCATATTATTTCTAAAGAGCAGATTATGAGGCTCTTAATTCTCTATTCTGGATATTTGGTTTTTATTTCTTGGAAGAATCTTAATATTCCAGATTATTTTAAAAACACATTTAAATGTTTGTTCTGTTCTAAAAACAGAATCCCAAGTGCAGCAATGTTTGCCTACAATAAATAAATGCAAACTGTTTTGTCTCCTGCAGGGCATAGAACGGCTTAAAAAGCAGGAGCCAACTTGGGAAAAAGTCAGCGGCTGGGAAGGGATCAAGCTGGCTTTCGGGGGTCAATTGTCACTGCAATGGTTCAATCCTCTTTCAGACCTCAGTTGCAAGAAGTCTCCGCCAGCTGGGACAGCAACCGTTGCTCCGTCTGAGATGGTGGTCCAGGAAGCTTTTGAGCAGCTTTCTGATCAAGATGTGGTTATAGAAGTGTGCAGTGAATAACAGAAAGTGCCTGTACCAATGTCAGTATCCTGTTGAAATGTGTGCACTTGAAGCTTAGCTTTTAAAGGATCATGTTGCATGAAAGCATTGAGATTTTACCATTTCTCTAGCTGAAGGCCTCACCAAATCAATGCAAAACAAGTACATTCCAAATGTTTTTACTGCTGATGATCATTTAACCAAAGTTCCACGAAGTTCCTATACAAACAATGACAAAGTTGACCATTCCTTTAAAAATGCAATACAAAAAAGGCAAACTACCAAGCTTAGCTTAAGTTTTCATAGTCCATTTGGCTGTGTATTGTGTTCTCAAGTAGTGCAAAGAGTGGTCAAGCAGAGACCCTGGATTTTTTTTTTAAAAAAAGAAGAATTATACATGACAGGTCATTATGAATGTTTATATGTTTTTACCAAACAACCATAGAATACAGTGACCAGTTACATCACAAGCAGTTAACAACGGGATTACCATGAAGACAATGACAAAATAATAAATGAAATGTTATACAATGGGTTAAAAAATTCAAACCAAGAACAAATAAATCTTACAAGTCCAGCTAAGTGACTCTTGGAAACCAACAACGCCTTGTGCTCATTTCTACTCAGTGCATTGAAATCTTTTTTTCCTTCCGGTGCCTACTCAGGGGAAATTAATGTTCTATATAACTGATTGTTTTGTCCCAAACAATAGTTGTTTTGCAACCAAAAGACTTACAAAGATTAGATGCTGTCGTCACTTCTTAGGAAAACCAGCACTTATTAAAATATATTTGTAAATAAGGGGTAGTTAAAATATATAGTTTCGACATTGGGAAATAAAAGCTATGTTTTGTCTGCTTATCTAGGAATGCTTTGGAATCAGTATACCTTTTGCCTATGAGTGTCCAATGAATCTCAATTTAATTCAGTTAATATTACAAATAAGTAAAGATTGTGGAATAATCCGTAATGGCCTGGCTATAGAAAAGTGGGATTGTGATCAGTGGCCAATACCTGGAATATAGGTCAAACTCATAGCAATTTGTCAAAAAGTCAGTGCATATGTATTAGGGGTGTGCAAAACAGCAGAAATTCATTCTGTTTTCTTTTTGAATTTCGGGGGTCCCGTCCGTCTTCCCGTCCCCCTGATTCTGTTTTCAGGAAGATTCTTCCCGGAAACAGAAATGAAACTCCATATCCCAAATTATGAATTTGAACCCCCTCCCCTCAAAAAATCTCCTGGAATCTTCCTGAAAATAGAACAGGATGGGGACCCAAAATTTGAAAGAAAACAACAGATTTCTGCCATTTTGCACACTCCTAATGTGCATGCATCACAATTAGGTAAGACTAGTATAATTCAGATGCTGTGCATCTTTAATAAAACTGTCACAAATGGGAAAACTGGGGTGTTTTCAGGTTTCTATGCGTGGTCAGTGAACAATAGGTAGTGTAGTATTACAGAAGCTGGTTAGTAACCAAAGACTGATCCCTTAAATCATTGAGTTGGGAGAGACCACAAGGGCCACCCAGTCCATAGTTGAGAAGGGAAACCATGGGGAACCTTATGTAAAAGCAAGAGTCTGCATACACACACAAACACACACACAATATGGAAAATATATAAAATGAAGAGTAGCTGAATGGGTTCTCTAATTCCTCCTCTTTAATTCTGGGTGCTTTTTTATATTTTATTGAGGGAACCTTCTTCCCTTCTGGTGCTCATCGATAGGGATAGCATCAGCAAGCGCCTTTAGCACCTCAACTGCCATTTCTTGTGAAATAACAGAAAATTTAAGGGTGGAGGAGTCTCAATGATGAGCCTAGTATGGTTAAGATCCATATATTATCAGGGGATTTTGGGTTGGTGTTGCTTAAATATCAGGTCTCACTTCTTACGTTGTATGTCAAAGCACTTCTGAAATCAGAGGAATTTTCTTGATATTTGTTATTGAGAAAATTGATTTATTTTTTAAATCCATCCAAAGTAATTATCTGTATCTTAAGCTATGGTTGTCACTTAAAAGCTTTACTTATGAAATTAGAATATATTTGCATATAAACCTGGATGCTAGTTTCTGTGTTGCAGACTGGGAACTGAAATATGTTTTGCTTTGAAGAGCTAGGAGAATTTTCACTTTTATGGTGGTTGGGGGAATGTTGCTGGGTTGAAGGGAAATTAGGGGTATCTTATAGTCATTGGGGATTCCTATGTTTTCTTCTAAGCTCCCTGTTTAGAGAAGAGGCCAAGTGAATGCTTATGGCCATTTATCTCTGCTTTTTATTTGTTTGTTTTTGATTAGTAGTGATAATGATTCATATTTCCCATATATTTCTTCTAAGTGTGACCATTGGCTTGCTTAGCTCAGAATTGTCTATTGACTAGTAGTAACTTTCTAAAAACTCAATGTTTTTCTCATCACCTGTTGCCTGATCTTTTAAAAAGTAGAGATATTGGGCATTACATCTGGTTTTCCTTAAAATGCAAAGTGTGTGCTCGTTTACTTGAGCAGGAGAACGTCTCCCAACTGTAGAAGGGACCAATAAGTGAGAAAGAACAACTTTTTGCTTGTATCAGATAGCAGAAAGGTAGATGTAGGTTCTCCAGTTTGCTACCTGCTAAGCTTAAGTTTAAACACTTGCTTGGGCCTAAATCAGAATATACTTTTAGAAAGAATACTGAGAAAAACTAGGGGAAGGGAGAAAAGGTAGTTCAGTCAATGGAAATTAATAAAATATAGTTATTTAAATTATAATTGTCCAAGCATTTGAGTTTGCACAAAAAATAACATTGTGCCTAATTCAGAGTGGGAGGCAGGAGGGGGAGCTACAGGTGTATTCCTTGAAGCATCCTGAGCCTATTTATTGTTTGGGATTGTGTTCAAAGAGGATTTTAATGTGAAAAATGCCACTTGAATTTATGTGACAGATTTGTTGTAACTATGTCTTGAAATGTCCCTGTTCATACAGCAAAATGGCCAACCCTTCTTCTGGCTTTAAGTAGAGATGCTACTTTTTTTTAATGAAGGAAGCCTCTTTGTATAAAAAGCCACTATTGGAGAACGGGTCACAAGAGATAAATTCATTCCGGTGCCTGTTTGAGAGCTAAATAGTAAATGGATTAATGGGGGGGGGGGGGGGAAATACAGTACAACCTGCAACTAATGGTTGTTTCAGGCTTGTATATGCTGATTGCCTAAAGGGAAAAAATTACTCTCAGCTCAATAATTAATTTCTACTTTGAGGTTCCCCACTGACTTCAGTGGAGCACCTACTGATACTGGTGTCTATCAGAACATTAATTTCATTGGCTGAATAGCCCTGAGAGAGGGAATAAATCAAGCAATTATGTGAATTTTTATTAGGAAGTACTGCTCATAAAGCTTCAAAAATGCTACACAAGAGTAAATTACTCTTATATTGTTTACTTCTTCAAACATGAGGGAAAATGTCCTTTTTAAAAACTTCAAACATTGGTTTTTGAAATTGATCTTTATTTGTATTTTGTGTTTGTTGGGACTATACATGGTTGTGATTTTTCTTTCTTTCTTTTGGTTAAGTCAGAATATTCTTTGTACATTCAAAAGTATGGTAAGACCCTCGTACCAACAGAGTCTCTGGGAATTTGCTAGGTCCTCCAATACTACTTCTGGGGGAAGTATAGCATAAAGTCACTGGAGAACGAACATTTCCTAAGGAAGTGGTTTCCAACCTTTGGTTCTCCAGAGATTTTGGACTTCAACTTCCAGAAATCCCAACTATCTTACAAGTGTTAGGAATTGTGGGAGCTGAAGACCAAAACATCTGAAAGGACCAAAGGCTGGGAACCTTTGTAAAGATACTGAAGATAATGGCTTCTGCAGTTATGGGAATCTTACTGTATTGTAGAAGTTTAATATTACAACATTTTGATCAATTGGCAAGGAATAAATTAACCTTGAAGTGGAAGGGGAATTGACTGACAGTTGGATAGAATTTGGGTATGGCATTGTCAATAGAAGAAAGGAGAAGTTACTTCCACTTCTACTGTGAAAGGAAGACCATCCAATTTGGGGAAGTTTCTCCTTGCTTCATTCCTCACATGTGATGGGGGTCAATAAAGTTAGAGAAGGGGCTGAAAGGTAGATACCAGAGAAGGTTGGTCTGTGAAAGGAACTTAATTTAGTTTTCATAATGGGAATTAGCACCTAATCCACTGGATTTCAATTGTATTTCACTTTACCAACTTATTTTGATGCCCAGCAGAGAAAGGGAGGAAAAGGCCTAGGAATAAATATGGATTTTTAAATTCCTGTGGACTGCTTTTTAAAGGAACACTCTTGCCTGTGTTAAATAAAAGTGCCTTATTCATTCTCAAAGCATTTTGTAAAGCCTTATGCAGCAGACTGAGATTAAATAATTTTTAGTTCATGAGCCATGAACCAAAGCATCTAGCAAGTTCTGACATGGTTGTGCTTCTGCTGAAGAGCTATTTAGGGGCAGAGCCTTAAAAAATCCTTCAGATTAAATAGCTAATTTATCTGGAATCCAGCATTAATATTATTATGTCTATTGTTGCCTATGTGAGTAGCTCCATGGAAGCCTTCAAAACAGCCTGCCTTGGACAGCTCCATGTTTAGTATGTTAATTGTTTGCACAGGCAGGACCTCAAAAGTTGTCTTGGAGAAAGAAAATATATGTGTGCTATTAAGTTAATCATGTGCAACCAATGACCCTATGTTTCCTGTTTTAGACATGTGGTATGTCTTAAAAACACAGCCATTGTGTAGGCAGAAAGGTGCCTTAGTTCAAAAACTCCAATAAATAATGAACTGGATCCCAGCCTGTGAGGAAATATTGTGTTTTCATGTCCAGTATCAGGCTGTTCATTGTATGTTCTATGCAATTAAAGTTTACGCATTTACAAACCTTAGTGTATTATTTTTGCTCTTTGTATCTCATTTTTGACTTCCACCGAACAATGGTACTTATTAAAAAATAAATCACTATTTTGATCGCACAATGGTTGTCCTTTCTTTCAATCATTCATGGTGCTATTGAGGTGATTTTTTTTTCCCTTTTCATCTCCACCAGTTCTCTGGCATGTTTGCCACACTATACAAATCCATAGGACTCAAAAAAGTCACAATTTATCAGAACCACATCTCATTCTACAAACCGGTGCAGGCCCTGAGATCTGCTGGAGAGGCTCTTCTCTCAGTCCCACCACTGTTACAGGTGTGATTGGTGAGGAGGAGAGAGGGGACCTTCTCAATAGAGGTTCCCTGGTTCTGGAATGCTCTCCCTGGAGGGATTAGACTCTCCAAACCTTCTGGTCTAGCCTAAAGACACGACTATTTACATGGGCCTTTGACCTGGATTAATGTACTATGGTCATGTGATGACGTTGACCATTGTTATTTGACACTTTAGTTCATGTTTGAAGAAACCCAATGACCCACAGACTTGACTGTTTTAGAAATGTTAAACTCTTTTATCAATTGATGTTGTCCATTGTTTGTAATCAGTTAATTTATGTATTTTTCTGGTGCTGTGTAATTTTATTCTTCTGTGTAGCACCTTGAATGCTTTTGTGAGCTGCCCCAAGTCCCTTTGGGGAGATGAGTCGGGATATAAAGTTTTTTAAAATTATTATTATTAAAATTCTTGTTCTTGTGAAGGCCACCTATATTGTCTAAGGCTTTCATGGCCGGAATCACTGGGTTGTTGTAGGTTTTTTTGGCTATATGGCCATGTTCTAGAGGCATTCTCTCCTGACGTTTCGCCTGCATCTATGGCAAGCTTGCCACAGATGCAGGCGAAACGTCAGGAGAGAATGCCTCTAGACCATGGCCATATAGCCCAAAAAAAGCCTACAACAACCCAGCCACCTATATTGTACTTACCTTTGCAGAACAACTCTACCAACCAAAATAGGCATGAATGAAAATTTTATTTCAATTGATTTTTTATTCTAGGTTATTTTTTCAGATTTTTCCATTTAGAATGGAAAGAACTTGAGAAACAAAAATAAAGAAGGAGAGATTGAAATAGGCAAGTTTCCCATTTCAGAGCAAGATTCTGAGACATTAAATCTTATTAAGTCTCGTCATTTTAATGTGTAAGCTATAGATGTATCTGAGAGTGGGAATGTTCTGTACCAACAATTAATTCACTGTGTATTTCTATGACACATCAATTCATGAATCTAGTCCTGCAGATGTGCTGCCCACTGAAATGTTCTTTCTGTTGGCATGCTTATTGATGGCCTGAGAGAGTGACAGAGCTTTCCACTTACTATTAAACTGGAATGGAATTAAAACTGGAATGTTTCTTTAAACAGAGCAAAATAAGGAAACACCCAGAACCCAAAAAATACAAATACAAATGCAAATGCTGCATTTCTGAATTGTTTAACATACTGCCGCATCTTCAAAAAGGGCATGACTGTTAATTTATACGAATTAGTATAGCTTTATCAGAATTTAATGAGAGGAATCATCAATGCCCAGGACAGATTTTCACCTAGACACAGACTCACTCACATACACAAACATACATATATGCATGCATACATGTATTTTATAATAATTGATAGAGGGGTACAATTCGGCCAAAAGGCATGCCGCTTCAGGGTCCATTTTGTCCATTTCTAGGAAGTTACTCAAATTCTGCGACCAACTGCGACCGTACCTCGTGAAGGCGGATCTGGCCAGGGTGGTCCATACCTTAGTCACCTCCAGATTGGACTACTGTAATGCACTCTATGTGGGGCTACCCTTGAAACGGCCCGGAAATTCCAACTGGTTCAATGAGTGGCGGCCAGGTTGTTAACTGGAGCTCCTTACAGGGAGAGGTCAACCCTCCTGTTTAAGGAGCTCCATTGGCTGCCGTTCATTTTCTGGTCCCAATTCAAGGTGCAGGTGCTTACCTACAAAGCCCTAAACGGTTTGGGACCCGCCTACCTGCGTGACCGCATCTCTGTGTACGAACCCACACGATCTCTTCGATCATCTGGAGAGGCCCTGCTCATGCTCCCACCACCATCGCAAGTGCAATTGGTGGGGACGAGGGAGAGAGCCTTCTCGGTGGTGGCCCCTCGACTCTGGAACTCACTCCCCAAGGACATTAGGCAAGCCCCAACTCTGGCAATCTTTAGGAGGAGCCTGAAAACGTGGTTGTTTCAGTGTGCCTTCCCAGAATAAGGAAACTCCCAGCAATATGTCCCTAAACGCACTTTATTAGTGATGTAGGATTGTCTGCACATTTCATCCCTCTCCAAAACTTCAATCCTAGTTATATGTCACCTGGTCATGCCCAGCATTATTTTTTAAATTTTTATTATTAAATTTGGCCCAGCCATAGGTTTTTAAACGTCGTCGTGTTATTGTTAATGTTTATTGCTCATTTTTGCATATGAGTTTATTTATTGTTTTGTTGCTATTGTTTTACTGTTGTATTGTGGGCTCGGCCTCATGTAAGCCACACCGAGTCCCTTGGGGAGATGGTAGCGGGGTACAAATAAAGTATTATTATTATTATTATTATTATTATTATTATTATTATTATAGGGAGGGGTATTGCCGTTTTCATTTGGCAAAGATTCGGCTCATTGGCTACAATGGGAAACTTAAAAGGCCATTTTAAGGCCTATCTGCGTGAAACCTACCTCGGTTTTAGAAACAATTCACCAATCTATGGGGGGTTTTTAAGAATTATTTTAAGTTTTAACCATAACTTTTTAAAAAAATAAGACAAACCAACAGAGCGGGTTCTGGGAATTGTAGTCACCATGTCCATTCTCAGCCAGTCAGAGCATGGACACAACAAGGCCTTTTATTGGCTGTGTGCATCCGCCCAGACGATTACTGGTTTAAACATCAAAAAAGAATATTTATTAGAAGCACACATCATGCTCCGAGAGGAACTCAGAGACTTTTCAGTGCCTGCCCCATGAAGCTGCTGGGAAAGCAAGTTCTCAGCAGGGCCCTCTCTAGGGAACTTTTCCAAAAGAAATGGGCACTTCGCTGCCAGGGAGGGAGAAAAGACATTGCAGGCAATCCCATCTTTTCCAGGAGCCCCATGGCTGACTCCTACCAGGTATTAACCCCATCCTCTCCAGGAGCTGATAAAATCCAGCTCCCTAAATCTGTTTTGCTGGGTTTTGCAGTTTCCTCCTCTTCGTTCCGTTTTCGGAGATTATACAAAACTTGCATTGAACACTATGCATATGTTTTTTGCAGTATTTCTGATGTAGTGTCATTATTTCATATCACAACTGCAAACAAAAAAGATCAATTTGTTCATCCACAAGACTCTGAAGATTGTGAACTTTTGTTTTCATCCTCATATTTCTCTTTAAATTTGCTGATGGAATATACAGACAACTAGCTGAACAGATAGGCAAGATGATAAATGCTGGTAATAATCTTTATTTTCAGGAAATGTTAACAAGGAAAGTTAACACAAGCTCACTAACAGGACATCAGTTGTCCTTTTTGAGGTTAATGTACTATTTGAGGTTAACATCCTAGTATAATACTAAAGCAAGCCTACACATTGCACACTGAAGAAATTTGGCCTGTTAAAACTGAACAATTTCAGTGTGATATATAAAATATAGCATATCTGACACAGTTACGGAGAGAGAATAGAAAGCTGTATATAGTTTTGTAATACACTGGAAATAGATCTATACATTATATGCAATTAGAAAATGTCATAATTGGCAACTGGCACAGCTACGTAGAGGAGCAAGAGGGGTCAAAGTATTCACTTTATATCAGGATTAGTGTGCTGGTATGGCTGTATCAGGAGCTCCAACTTTATTTGCTTTGTATTCAATGTTTGCTTGCAGTCCAAGGTTTCAGGGACTCTGCAGAAAGGTGGCTACCTTTGGTTGCAGTCGTAAGGCAAGTCACCTGTCCATCATCGTTAAGTTTTGGTCCTGTCCCTTGCTCAGGGCAGTTGGGAAGGGAAGGGAGCCATTTTTTAGTTAGTCTCAGCAAGGAAAGCTAATGTACAGGACGTATGCAAGCTTCCCCTGTACAAAAGCTTCAACCCTTAAGACTTTCCAGGGGAGAACAGTCTTAAGAGCCTCCAAAGATTCTAAAGATTTCCAGGGAAACAGCCCTAAAGCTTTGAAGAATTTCGAAGTGTAACAGTTTGGAAGACCAAAGAACTCCAGCTGGAGAATATCTAAGCCTTTACTGGTAGGTCCACTCGGTGCTTCGAGACGCAGTTCGACCCGGTAGTGGAGCCCACATCAGTAAGAGTTAGATTACAGTCAGCCTGGGAGAAGTTAAAAAGGGGATTTTCCTTTAAAGTAAAGAAGAAGTTATTGAAGACAGTTGCCTGTCTTTCGTGGGCAAGTTTAGGAAGCCACCTGTTGCATAAAAGCCTGGAAGCATTTGGTTAACTTTACTGAAGAGAAGAAAAGTTTCTGTTTGATTGTTCATTAATAAAGGACTTTGTTATACTTCACAAGCCATCTAAAGATCATTTGTGGTGGAAAACCTCTGAGAACTTCTCTTTGGGCCCCCTGGCTTCCCGCTGGGCAAAGGTTGCAGCTCCTGTTCTAAAGGAAATTCTTTACAGGCCCAGCACGAGACAGAACAATTAGGATTTTCATGGCCTTTTAGATGTTTCTTGAACTGCTATCCCCAGTGTTCCTTGGTTAACCTGACATTTTTTTTTATCATGTCAAAAGCGAATTGAGACTGTACTGCAAGTCACTTCTGGTGTGAGAGAACTGGCTGTCTGCAAAGATGTTTCTCAGGGGACGCCTGGATGTGTTACCATCCTGTGGGAGGCTTCTCTCATGTCCCTGCATGGGAAGCTGGGGCTGACAGACAGGAGCTCATCCTGCCTTGTGGTTTCGAACCGCTGACCTTCAGGTCTTCAGGTCAGAAGTTCAGCCGACACAAAGGTTCAACCCATTGTGCCACTGTGGCTCCTATCTTGACAACGATCACTGAGAGTTGCAGTCTGACAATATTTGGAGAAGTACACAATTTACTCCAGTTTTCACAAATCACATTTTGGTCACCATAAGTTTTCAGATCTCTTAAACATGCAAGAAACATTTTAATGATCTCTATAACATTCTTAATAGTTGAAATCAAAACAGCTATATGCTTAAGTCACTTCAGTTATCACAGTTTAAACATTTTGTCTGTGCAAGCAATGCTACAAGCAGTGTCAAAGAAATACAGCCATGACACCATATGACAGAACTTGGGAATGCTCTACTTGGTAATGCAGATCATCTTTTCCTCTGTTATCCCTTTTATCTGGTTGGATGTCAGCTTGGCCACAATCTTCTTCAGCCCAGTCTTCCTTGGTGCACACACTATTTTGCATTTAAATATTCGTCCAGGTTCTAAGTCCCTAAGAAGGACAAAAATATAGGAGAGTATGTTATGGAAGTATCTTTTAATGTGCTAGATTATGTGTAAATCTCCATTGACATATGTATTAAACAGCATCTGGGAAAATTGGCTTTCCCTTTTATTGCAATAGAAGGGGTTTCTATGTCACCCTGCCTAAACTATGGCATACACAAAGCTATCAATGATTTAAAATGAAAATGAGAAGTCTATGCAAGTGATTGCAGGTGAACTTCAGTTGCTAGGCCAACAGGTTATCACCGGATCATTGGGTTAGATTGAAACTGAACTGTACATAAACCCAACACGTAGCTTCTGTAGCTATGGCATTTCATTTATTTATTTATTTATTTATTTATTTATTTACAACATTTATATGCCACCCTTCTCACTCTGAAGGGGACTCAGAGCAGCTTACAAAATACACACACAATATATTATATTGTTAGCATAGCACAATATCAGTATTAAATATTACTATATTGTATTATACCATTATATTGTAATATTACTAGCAATATTACATGTAATATATATATAATTATAAAATTATCATTTTATTAGTACTTCAAGCTTTTACATATCTATATAAATAAAAATGTAATGTTCGTTTGTGGGATTAACAGAACTCAAAAACCACTGGATAATTGACACCAAATTTGGACACAAGACACCTAACAACCCAATGTATGTCCTTCACTCAAAAAAATTTTGTCATTTGGGAGTTGTAGTTGCTGGGATTTATAGTTCACCTACAATCAAAGAGCATTCTGAACTCCACCAATGATGGAATTGAACCAAACTTGGCACATAGAACTCCCATGACCAACAGAAAATACTGGAAGGGTTTGGTGGGCATTGACCTTGAGTTTGGGAGTTGTAGTTCACCTACATCCAGAGAGCACTGTGGACTCAAACAATGATGGATCTGGACCAAACTCTTCACGAATACTCAATATGCCCAAATGTGAACACTGGTGGAGTTTGGGGAAAATAGAATCTTGACATTTGGGAGTTGTAGTTGCTGGGATTTATAGTTCACCTACAATCACAGAGCATTCTGAACCCCACCCATGACAGAATTGGGCCAAAACTTCCACACAAAACCCTCATGTGGGCCACAGCAATGCGTGGCAGGGGACGGCTAGTAATATTATAAATATTATATGCATATAAAATATATTATATTACATTATATTACATGCACGACTATGGTGCTAACTATGGTAAACACATGCTAAGCACACAGTGTGGGTACATTTAGATGAATAACCTCCAAAGATTTGACACAAATGAGTCCCAATTGGGGGAGAAAAGTGGATAATAATAATGAAATAAATAAATACCATAAGCTCTTAAGCTTCATCATACAATCAGCCCTCCACAATCGCTGGAGCTTAGGAAGCAGAGCTCCCATGAAAGTGGGAGAACTATTTTTTATTTACCTAAAAGAATACCTCTTTAGGAATCTCTTAAGTATTCCAGTGCAATTCTATGTCCAGCTTCCATCACAAATTGGTCACAGAATTGTGCCAAGCGATCTAATGATTCTAGAGGGGTATTCTCTTGGTCAGCTTCTGGTAGACGTTGACTATAAAGTCAACACTAGAGGACCTACAGGTTGCTAGAGACCATAATTTTCAAATCCATGAATTATCAAATCCACAAAAGTTAAACCGCAAATGTAGAAGGTCAACTGTATAGCGCAAGCGTGTTTTGGACTTCAACTCCCACAATTCTGTTAGACTGTTAGGAATTGTGGGAGTTGAAGTCCAAAACACCCAGAGGGCCAAAGTTTGTGCATGCCTGGCATAGCACATATACACAGATTTGTGGATCTGCTATACTTTCAGTCTATGTAGATAGTTCTGTTTGTGTAAATGTAGAAGCAGGTTTTCATAATCCTAGATGAAACCAAGACAGGATGAATGCTCTGCTCCCATCTCCAAAGTCACATATATGACTCTCTGGCGTAGAATTGGCAGGTTCCTGAATTGAAGCTCAGGGAGGTTTTTTGAGAGGGGAAATGGGTAAGAAAGGAAATCAACTTTATTGGCACAGGCAGTTTTACTATGTATCAAATTCCAAACAGCTTGAAGCTGAAGATAAATGCATTCAAGAAGCCAACAGCTTTTTGTCTTTGAACTGGAGGTCATTTGGGAAGGGAAAGGTAAGTGGGAAGCAAAAGAGCAAGTGTCCCATCACCATTTTAAGAAGGAATACAGAGAAAAACAGAAGAATTTGGGCCTGTTATATGTGTGTCTAGGAGAGAATCTGATCCTTGCCCCCCAATTCCACATTTTCTGACCCCTGAAGGAGCAGAATGAAGAGGGTGAAACACAAATACCCCAGGGCTGTTTGGTTGATTTTTGAAATAAGGATTGATAATAAATTGTACCATCTCAAGAAGGACCTCCTCTAAGGTTTTTTCACTTCAGATTCTGAAATTATTCAACTGCAATGTTGCCTGAGACAGGAGAAGATTTGTGGTTACGGCCCTCCAAGGTCATTTACCCGGCCCTCGCTCAGGGTCAACCTAAGTCTGAAATGACTTGAAAGAACACAACAACAACAATCCTATCTCATCAGTCAAAAGCAGGCCTACACTTCCCATTGAAATACTAATAAGTTTATATTTGTTAAAATTGTTCTTCATTTTAATTATTGTATTGTTTTAAGTGTTTTTGCACTACAAATAAGATATGTGCAGTGTGCATAGGAATTCATTCATATTTTTTTCAAATTATAATCGGGCCCTCCAACAGTTTGAGGGACTGTGACCTGGCCCTCTGTTTAAAAAGTTTGAGGACCCCTGATCTAGATGACATCAAGTGTGACCGACATCACCTTACCCTTGATCAAATGTTTCCATCGTAAAGAGACCCAGGCCTTCAACATGGAGTTTGCATTTTTCCAGGGGAATGGACAATGTGTTCTTGAAAATGAATGCACAGGTAAAATCTTCATTGACCTTTGCACTTTCTGCCATCTGTCAAACAAAGATGGGTCACAAAGAAGAACAAATTAAATGAAATAAAGTGTATCAAATGTGTTAGTGCTAATTACATAAGCACAATAACATGCACACAAATTGTATCTCCCAATATGAGCCTAGCCAAATTTTAAGATCCTTGGGTAATTATTTTCTCTTGGGATCAATGCCAGTATAGATCCATTTAGAAGAGAACAGAAAAGAATAGAATATAATACCTTTTTTGTCATTGTACATTGTACAACTAAATGTAATGCTTTCCCCAGCACACATAGCAAAAACAGCACACCCATCCCTCCACACTCCAGCCACCACTGCACAGCCCCCAATGCTACATCAGTGAGAAACCATGGAGTTCAATGTAGTTAGAGCTCTAGGATAAAATTTAGTGCAGACAAAGGGGACCGTCTCCTTGGCGTTTGCTTCCAGAATTCCTCCCATGGAGTGTGAAATTCGTTGTTCTCTTTCTCTAGCAGGCAAAAAGCTTTCTGTTCACCCTGTCCTTTTACTGTTAACTATTGTATTGCTGTGTTTGTATTTTGTGTTGTATTTTATCAGTATTATTATATTCTAGCTGTATTAAATGAATTTTTTAATATGATTTTTGTTTAGATTTTTTTAGAAATTTGTTTTAACTGCATTTTATGTAAATCAAACTGTGAACCAACTTGGGTTCCATATTGGGGGGAAATGAAACAAACAAACCAATCCCATCCATGAACAGATACTGAAAATACTGACTGGTTGTTGGTGTTACTAAGATCAATGAAGAGTTTGGAAATGATGCTCATTGGATTGCATTTCCCAGATCCCCTACCCCACTAGTTGAAGGACTGTGGCTATCAATCCATGCCAGATTTTGACACTCTTTATTTCATATTTTGTAAAATCTGAAACAGCTCCTGTGCACAACTGAAATGGAGCCACCAATTGCTACAATCCAGTGGTTTAGAGGTCTTGATCATCTGAACCAATGCCACTCCCTTAATGGACAATATGGGACCCATAGAAGCATGTATATTTCATATTCTCACTGAGCTCATAAATTCAGACAGCCATTTACTTTGTCTCTCGTCATTCGAAGATAGACACCACAGTGTGGGCTGTAAGCAGACATTGGCTCGTCACAAAGTCCTTTGTCTCTAGAAGATTTCTCCATTGGCCTGTTTATTCCATTTGCAGTTCATCAACAATTAAGCTTTATACATATTAAATATTGCATTGCTTTTCCTTTATGCCTTACCTCTACTTTGAGTGGGGGGTACTCAAAGTTGAAATACAGTTCTTCCATTAACTTCTCATTTGTTTCTTGAACATCAGCAATAATATTGATCTTGACTAGAAGTTCGTCCTCTATGGCCATCAATGTTTTCATGTAAGCATCAGGTGCTATTTTCAGAGGGATCTCAATAACTGCACCAAAACAAAGAAAAGACAGCTAGAAAGAAAAATGTACTATAACACAAGTAAGTGCCTACTGTAAGGGCTCTTACTGTAGTATGGCTGCTTTCTGTTTGTGAAGCAGAGATACCAGGGAAAAGATTTAAAAAGAAAGCAAGGTAGCATTCATCATGTTGATGCTTCCCCACTCCCAAATGGAAAAAAATACAAATAAAGTATGATTAAAAATGAAGGGGATTTTGCAAATAGAGGACCCAGAGGGGTTGTGCAGCTATGAGAGACTCACTTGATATGACTATGAAATCCACCGCTCTAGTGAAATACTGTACATACTCCTGTATAAGTTGGTGGCCATTTTTAATAGGGGCTTACTGTAACGGCCTGTGTGTCCCTACTAAAAATGGCCATTGTACTTTCTCTGTAGAGAAGCCCTTATTAAAAATGTTGTCATCACTCTGCTCCATCCCAAGTACCCAAAATAGCCCAAACATGTTGCTGCATTTAGCTCAGGCTGGAAAAAAATGATGTCTTTAACACCCTCACTAAACTATAAGCTCCAGAATTCTGCAGAAGACAGAAACCAGATTTAAAGTGGATTCATTCTCTAATGTGATGAAGTAGTACTGTTTGTTCCCTCTATGCATTTTGTAAAAGAGAGGAAAATTTTGGTTACATGTGGTGACATATCCATCCTCAACATATCCATGGGTCAAATCAAAAGCCATAAATTATTCATGGAGTCGCCTTATACATGAGTATATACATCAGGCAACTTTCAATATAAGAAAAGGCAAGTGGAATACATCTTCTTGGGGAAGGATTGTATACACACCTGGCTTGCCTTCTGTTTTGATTGTCTCCTTCACGGTCGCAAGGCTTGCTTCTACGTTCCCAGTGTATGATTCCAGTTGGCAAGAGGCAGCAAAGTTGACGGTCCATGTACCCAGAGAATCGTTCCTTACAACAATAGTCAGCTCAATGGGTTGCCCAGGCCATAGTGCTTGGTCCCCTTCCGTCCCAAGAGTCAAATTAGCCTTGATGGACTCCTGGGAAGACGGGTCTTCCATGGTGCCCAGATTGCAAGACTGAAGATAGCAGCAAGCAGTTTCCACAGCTTTCCTTTCCTCGGGAGATTCTGAAAAAAATAGAAAATGGGAAAGCAACCAAACATAAAATCATTAGCTATGATTTCATTTGCTACCTGCCTGTTCTTTTTACTAGGATTAACAACCTACCCAGCCCGCAAAAACCAAAAAACACCCCGCTTCCCACAACTCTAGGTAAAGGATTTCATATGTATGTCAATCTTATTCGTAAGAACTACAATGTGACCTAAACCTAATTACAAGTCCCAGATAGAATAGTCTCACTGAATATATTCCTTAATTGTTAGTCAAGATTTATCTTGAACCAATGGGTTTACTCTATTTGATTCAAGTTGCCATATTACAAACGACAGGAGACTGCTTTTAAGTCTGGCTTTTGGAATCCACTCCTATTTGCTGGAATTAGGGGTGTAACACCCCCACACAAGTGGAAAAACTGCAAATTAAAAAAACCATGATTTTTTTAAAAAAAAACTTAAGATGACATCTCTCCAGGAATCTCTAGGTCATCTACCACAACTCTGTGGTCAATTTTTGTTGCACATTGTTAACAGAATCATGCTGGAGGATCCACAAATAACTAGTGAAGAGTTGTCTCTAGAAATCTTTAGGTCCTCCAGTACAGCTCTATGGCAGAAGTTAGCCATACACTCATGCTAGACAATGTACAGATGCCTGGACAGAACATACTGATCAAGTTCATAAATAATCAAATCTGCAAAAATGAAACATGCAAAGATGGAGGACTGACTATTGGATGTGCATGACTCAGAAAAACCTGCTTCGTTTGTCTTAATGACATTTGTGTGACTCCCGTTTTGATTGTAAAGTGTTTTGGATAAATTGTGAGGGATCTGAGTCAGATCTATTACGGAATCCAAAAATTTAGTAAGTTTTTTTGTTATTTGCCCATTTGCGTCAATTCCCTCAGTTTTAGGGCCATCGGATGAAACTTACTACAATTGTAGCGCACATGTACCACTTTTACCAAACAGTTTACAGAAAAAAATAATTGATAATAAAGCTTTGGTTTATATCTGCAAAATTGCACACATTGGACACATAGGGCCCTTGCACACAGCTGAATGAAATCTCACATTTTCTACTTTGAACTGGAATATATGGCAGAGTGAACTCAGATAACCCAGTTCAAAGGAGATATTGTGGAATTTTCTGCCTTGATATTCTGCTTTATATGGCTGTGTGAAGGGCCCTAACCCCAAGTTTCAGAACATTTCGCTCATCCATTGATTTTTAGGATATTTTTGAAGTTTTATATATATATATATATATATATATATATATATATATATATATATATATATAAAGTTTTGTATGGGAGGGGGTGCTGTGCAGTCTTCGTAACACTGGTTGTAAGTATGGATTTAACGCCTCTCTTACGACTTTTGACCCTCTTACGTTTTTTTGCACAGCTCTACTGACTATATATGTTAGATGTCTATGCATATGAGGTGTCTGCCATGTTGACTTCAGGCATCATATTTAGACCGAATACATTTTTCATTATTACTGTAATTCTGGCCATTCCACTTGAAAACATTTAAGGTTGCATTAAAAAAAATAAATCCTATCTCAGACAGTAAATGCAATCCATAAATATTCCACATTAAATCTCCAAGTTATGAGTGCATATGAGAAATAATTATAATTTCTCTGGCACAATGAAGTCAATGTGACAGTCACCTTCTGGATATTTGTATTGATCAGTGATGTCTTCCCGGACGTTCTTCCCAACGGCTTTGGTGCTGATGCTCTTCCCTATCACCTTGGTTTCTTCACGCTGCTTGATGTATTTTTCTTCGCCCCCCTCATTCTTTACAATCCAGTAGACCTTGTCTGCATTTACTTCAGCAAACACAAACTTAGAGTCATAGGGAAGATAGACTTCTCCCTTTTTGATTGCACTTATTGGAGTAGGGCCACACTGGTAAATACCTATAGGGAAGAATGAATATTAATTTATTTCTGTCTCCATTTGTTTTAAGAGTCCATGTGCCTCTCATAGAGTGATAACACGTCTCTTCAAAATTCAGTAGCAGGAAGATAACAGCAGTAATTCAATTAAATATTACAGTGTCTATTTTGCTGTTTCCCTTTGTCCCACACATCTATATTTGCAGGTGTTTGTTATCTACAGTGTTGCACATTTGTAAAAATATGATCTTTGCTAATCTTTCAGAGTAACAAGCATGAAAGCTAACATGTAACTAAACTCTGGGCATCAGAATGTATTGCACACAAAAAAATGTCACCCTACGTTAATAGAGATGAATTTATTAATAGAGATGAATATGCAAATCAAGACACATCCTGCACATAACAGGGCATAGAAATATATGGCTCACACTTTGCTGTTTGCTGCCAGAAATTATGTTGAAACTAAATGCCCATATGAACAAAATTATGACTTGCTTTCCCAAGGTTACTAATGATACTACTTTCCCCATTTTTCATTATTTCTATGTTCTCCAGACATTTTAGGTTCCAAAGGTATCTCTATCTCCTTTTGCTCTGTTGGGTGCACGAGTTGATCAATAATCCTCACTTATTTTTGCATTTTCACAAGTGACAGCCATGGTTGCAATTTACATCCTGGTAGATATTGTCAGGAATCTTGTTCAATTTCTAGAGAAACAGAGGCTACCATTAGCTGAGGAAAAGATTTCCATCACTTTATGGAACACAATATCTCCGCCAAGGGAGATAACTTGAGGTTAAGGCCTAAGACTGTGGCGCACCTGGCTGGCAGTCAGCTGCATTAAGATCACTACTGACCGAAGGGTCATGAGTTCGAAGCCAGCCCAGGTTGAGTGACCTTCCAACCAATTTGTGTAGCTTGTTGTCGGCCTTTGCAGCCTGAAAGACAGTTGCATCTGTTAAGTAGGAAATTAAGGCGCCACTTATGTGGGGAGGCTAATTTAACTAATTTACGAGGCCATAAACATCTCCAGCAAGCATGCAAAGAATTAGGAAGTACTGCATCAGTGTCACAAATGGATGGTGAAGCGACAGCTCCCCTGGTGGCCAGAATACCCTCATGAAGGCCAGAATACCCTCATGAAAAAGCTGGATTGTTAAATAGCCTCTGAGTGTCTGTCTATATATGTTGTGTGTCTATGGCATTGAATGTTTGCCATGTATATGTACATTGTAATCCACCCTAAGTCCCCTGTGGGGTGAGAAGAGCGGAATAGAAATAAATAAATAAATAAATACATAAGACCTTGCCAGGAAGCACCAACAGTGAGGACTCTATGGAATTGAAGCAGCTGTTGGGAGTTGCAAGGAGTACCAAATAACCCATTATTTAAAATAGTGGATATAATGAATATTTCTGTTTTCAAATTTAACCTATTTTTAAACCAATATTTAAATTTTGACTTGCTTGTGGTCAAGTCCTACCTTGGCTAATTTCCTGAGGTGTGGCATCAATCGCCTGCCAGCCGTCAAAGCCCTTGGGCAGATCTGGCCTTTTCATCCAGACATCATTCCACACATGGAAGTTCCTATGGACAGATAAGGTTCAATAGTGAAAATTTTAAAAACCTAATAACTGTAGCTTCATATTTTAAATCAATCTACTTTGTGTTCAGATGTAAACAGATATGGTAATTGTGACCTTCCAGATATTTTTGGACAACCGTTACTGCTATGATACCTCACCATGGGTTGTGCCAGGTAGGAATGGATGGGAGCGGAAGTCCTAAAATCTCTTTAAAGGTGGGGAAAGTGAGGAATTAGCCAATTTTAATGAACACACCAGAGAATGCTGGAAGTTGCATCAATGGTCATATGAATACATTTCATCAGGCTGTTGCTGGAATCCAGACCAGCTTTCTTCAGCCAAGTGTCATCTAGGTTGGGGAAAGATGAGAAGTAATTCAACTCTCTAAGGTCTTGGGTAGGGGTAGTTTTCTATCCTGTTATCTAAATTCTTTGTCAGAGGTGTCTCAGGTTGAAAATGGAATCTCCTACATGCCATGTCTGTACTTTCCTAAGCAGGTTTCAAAGAGGTCAGTGGCTTTAATGGCGCTTTCAGTGGATGCTGCAGCAGAGGTCTTAACCTATAAAGACCTAAACAGTTCCAGCCCAGTTTACCTGTCTGAACGTATCTCTACGAACCACCAAGGACCTTAAGATCATCCGGCGAGGCCCTGTTCTCGGTCCCACCTCCATCACAGTCACGTTGTGGGGATGAGAGATAGGGCCTTCTCTGTGGTGTTCCCTCAGCTGTGGATCTCCCTCCCTTGTGAGATTAGATCTGCCCCATCCCTCCTGATCTTCTGAAAAAAAACTCAAATCCTGGCTGTGGGATCAAGCTTTTGCAGAATAGACTGATTTACTGGTGAAGATAAGGTTTTAGTGGACTGATTTGGATGACGATTTGAACCGGCAAACTGTTTCAATGTATATTTATAACTGTTTTTAATGTATGCTAATTGTATTTTATGTTATGTTATTATATTGTATCACCATCAAATAGTTGCCTGTTGGAAACTGTTCTGAGTCCCTCTTTGGAAGTTGAGAAGAATGGTGTATAAATTTTGTAAATAAATAAATATTAGAGAGCAGAGGAAAAATAGGAGGAACATAACATTTTAATCAGAGTGCGACTGGCATCCTCTTAGCGACATGCAAAGGTATAAGGTATTTTAAGAGCTGTTTGAAGGTGGAATTTTAGGACAGGGGTCCTCAAACTTTTTAAACAGAGGGCCAGGTCCCAGTCCCTCAAACTGTTGGAGGGCCGGATTATAATTTGAAAAAAAATATGAATGAATTCCTATGCACATTGCACATATCTTATTTGTAGTGCAAAAACACTTAAAAACACTCCAAGGCAGAGAGTTCCACTGCTGAACAGCTCTCACAGTTAGGAAGTTCTTCCTAATGTTCAGATGGAATCTCTTTTCTTGTAGTTTGAAGCCGTTGTTTCACATCCTAGTCTCCAGGGTAGCAGAAAACAAGCTTGCTTCCTCCTCCCTATGACTTCCTCTCACATACTTATACATGGTTATCATGTCTCCTCTCAGCCTTCTCTTCTTCAGGCTAAACATGCCCAGCTTTTTAAGCTGCTCCTCATAGGGCTTGTTCTCCAGACCCTTAATCATTTTAGTCGCCTTCCTCTGGACACATTCCAGTCTGTCAATATCTCTCTTCAACTGTGGTGCCCAGAATGTAGGATTATTTGACGGAGAGTGTTAATGCTTTAGCAAACAACTAACTTTTGGTTTCCAAAAATAGCTAAAATGGTATACAAATGCGATAACTGTATAGTGTGAAAGAGGTATAAGTTTCTTCGCCAGTTCCACTCTCTTGCACTATTTTTGAAAGAACACCAGAGGGCTTCCTGACCTTTGAAGGAATGCTTTCAAGAAACTCTAGCAACTAAATTAAGAAAGGAAGCAACTGAGAAACTGGGGGAATTCTAGAATGCTTAAAACAGTTGAACCAAAAAGCAGTAATTTAGAATTGTGTTAAACTTTTTTGTATTGATTCGGCTTTAGTAATTTTTCTTCAAGAAGGAAAAGTTGGAGTTACCCTTTTTAAAAAGACATTATAGAAAATATCTAGTTAAGACCAGAACATGAGTTCCTATAAGAACAAGGAATAGAAACATGCTGGAAGCATATGACTCTCGGACTCCTATTTTTCCTACAACTGAAAATTTCAGAAAATGATCAACTGTATCAACATGAACAGTGAGTTATAATCTGATTACCAAACTGAGTCGTTTGTTAGATTGCTCAGTTTTTCTCCCTTTTCATTCAAGAAGATATCCACTTTCAGATTTTCTTCTGTATCATGTGCTGATGCGAAATTGGTCACACTTCTGGCTGGAATCCCCAAACAACGCATAACTGAAATACAGATACAAAAAAGGCATCAGCTTTAAATTATAGTTGTTTGCTTCTTGGTTACAGAGAACATCAATTCCCCATTATAGCCCATTAATTGGGCTATAATGGGGATTTCTAAGGGATTGGGCTCTATTGCAAAGTTTTTGATTATTGTTTTATAGTGAACACAAGAAACAACACAGAAATAAACAAAACAAAACAAAAAAAGAATACAATCAAAAGAAAAAGAAAAATATATATACAAAAGAGCAAGAAAGTTTACAAAATGGTATACAGTCAGTGCTCATTAAACATATGAAAAATCAAATTTGGCTGTACAATTATTATACCTTAACATTTCTTATCCCTGTAACCCCACACCCGTGAACCCAACCCCCATGACCTCCAAAAAACCCCAATATAGATCCCATAACTAATCTGCAACTACCTATATGTCTTTCACTAAATCCCCTTTATGGCAATCTTCAAATCGACCAATGTCTTCTTTTCCAGACACCCAAGTGCCAGCCTCCATTTTTAAATGAATTCTTCATTATTTCCTCCTCTGCTGTTATTTATCAGTTTGTCCATTTGAATAATATCTACTAATTTATCTTTCCAATCTTTAAAAATTATTAGTTAACTCTCCTTCCCCCTTCCATGTTTACTATTATTAGTCTCACAACAAAGGAGCAATATTGACAAATTTCTTCATCTTCTGCACTAATACACCTTCTAAAAAGTCCTAATAAGCACATTTCTGGGTTTTTCTTGACTTTTTGTTAATCATATTGTTTGTTTGTTTCACCACTTTTTCCCAGAATTCTTGAACTATACTGCATCTCTGTGTACGAACCCACACAATATCTTCAATCATCTGGAGAGGCCCTGCTCGCACTCCCACCACCATCCCAAGCACGATTGGTGGGGACAAGGGAGAGGGCCTTCTCAGTGGTGGCCCCTCGACTCTGGAACTCACTCCCAAGGACATCAGGCATGCCCCAACTCTGGCAGTCTTTAGGAGGAGCCTGAAAACGTGGTTGTTCCAGTGTGCCTTCCCAGAATAAGGAAACTCCCAGCAATATGTCCCTAAATGCACTTTATTAGGATTGTCTGCACACCCCATTCTTCTCCGAAAATTCGATCCTAGTTATATTTCACCTGGTCATGCTCAGCATATTTTTAAAATTTTAATTATTACATTTGGCCCAGCCATAGGTTTTTAAACGTCGTCGTGTTATTGTTAATGTTTATTGCTTATTTTCTGCTATGAGTTTATTTATTGTTTTGTATTCTGTTGCTATTGTTTTTATTGTTGGATTGTGGGCTCGGCCTCATGTAAGCCACACCGAGTCCCTTGGGGAGAAGGTAGCAGGGTACAAATAAATAAATAAATAATAATAATAATAATAATAATAATAATAATTATTATTATTATTATTACAGGCTCCATACCCAGTTGAACCTGTGGAACTGGTTGGAACGGTCATAGAAGGTTAAATGTTGGAAAGACTCAGATTGTAGAAGATCATGAAAAAAAAGTTGAACCAGCTAGATCAAACCAGGAGTCAATTTAGTCCAACCATCCTGTTTTCCAAGAATGAGCAACCATGTTTGTTTGGGAAAACAACATGAATGTTTTCATTTATTGTTTTCCATAAATTCGAGGAAAGATACAGAGGGCGGGGAGAAAGAGAGAAAGAAAAGGAAAGATGTAGGAAAAAGGAGTGTGAAGGAGTGAGTGAAGAGGGGAGAAAGAAGGGAAGAAAAGGGGAAAATGGGAGTGAGGAAAAAGAGGAAGAAAAGTAGAAAAAAGGAAGGAGAAAAGGAGAAAGAAAGAAAAAAAGAAAAAGAAAAAAAAAGAAAGAAAGAAAGAAAAAGAAAGAAAAGAAAAGAAGATGGAAGGAGAAGGACAGGAGGAAAGTATGAAAGAAAAAAGTAAAGAGTAGGAAAAAGGAAAGGGAAGAGGAGGGCAGAAAGAGAGAGAAAGAAAGGAAGAAAGATGTGATGCTGCAGCTGAAAAGGCCAATGCCATTTTAGGCTGCGTCAAGAGGAGAAGCCTGAGAGAAAGCAGAAAGTAACTGATATGACACTTTACCTTAGCTAGTTTTTAAATTGTTTTTAATGATAATTAATTAAATGCAACTGTTAAAAAAATTGAGGAAAGAATAGAGAGACTACCATTAAGATGCATATCTTACCTGTGGTAAGCACTCCAGAGAAAACCCAGCACTGGCCAAACATGACACTTTTTTGGGTTTTGTAATACTGTTGCAAAATTGGCACACTTCCCGTCCAGGCCAGAGGAGAAGTACCACTTGAATATTTTCCTGACCAGCTTGCAAAGAGCACTCCACGATCATCCTGAGAGTTAACCTAAGGAACAGTCGAAGAGAACACAAACTCCTGACTTAACCGTTATGCCCTTTACATTGTACTAACGTTCTTTGAAAGCTAACTCATTGTGAGATTTAACAACTGATGAATAAATCATCCATGGGAGAAATGTTGGACACTCAATGGTCAGATAGGTGGAGATTTGTATTATTCAAATAAACAGAGTGATGCATGTGTTTGGGGAAATTATAGTTCTGAATCTTTCAAGCCAATCTCATAGGTAGGAGCCTTCGGTGGCACAATGGGTTAAGTGTAACATGCACAGATATCTATAACAACAAATACAAAAACTGTAGATTGCAAATCACAATTTCTATGTTCCAAGAATTTCTACACTGAATGTAACATGAGAACATTCACACGATTAATTAAAGACTGTTTATAAATAGAAGATAATTTTTCAATACTTTGTCAACACAGTGAAACTAGAGCTTCCAAAATAACAATTAAACAATGTCAGGCACAGTGACACAAAATAACACTTTCTATATTGTCAAAAGATCTTCTTCCATAAACAACATCAGAGACAGTGACACATGGTTTATCAATACCTTGTCAACACAGTGAAACTAGAGCTTCCAAAATAACAGTTAAACAATGTCAGGCACAGTGGCACAAAATAACACTTTCAATGTTGTCGAAAGATCTTCTTCCATAAACAACATCAGTGACAGTGACACACCCGGGTTGTTTCCCTTGTTTCGCAATGTCTTCATCAGGTGTTATGATGTTTTAATTCAATTCTAATTGGTAGCTATTGGTTCTGTTTTGATTTCCTATCAGCATTTATAGTCTTTGGATTCAATTCCTGTAAACAGCCTGGGCTCTGAGTGAGGAGTTCTGAATTGGAGTTGGGAGTTAATGTGGTATCAAACTTCTAGAAACCTGCAATATAGATACAACCTGCTTTAAATAATTTATTAAAAAGCATACCAAAGCTGACATGGTCCGGGAGATGATGACAGGATCTTTTCTAGCATTTGGCTTAAGCTGGCTCTTGTCCAGAAGGTACATGCAGCAATCCAGGATGTCTTTCTCAAACTGTGGTAGGGAGACAAGCTTGGTCACTTTTCCAATTGTTCATTGCTGAAGAAGAAGAAAAATCCCTCTCTTCCAATTAATACAACTCAAACTTCTGTTAAAATGTGCTTTTCTGATCATCTGTTTTTTTTTAATTAACTGAAAGAAATTCAACATAATATTAAATCAGAGTAGCTAGAAATTTTGACATTTGCTTCCAATCATGGCAGAAAGGATTTTATAGCAAGATCAAGACTTTGAATTAACAGTTTGAGGCTCTTAGTATATAAAGCATAAGGGCCATCATACCACTTATAGCTGATCATATCACAATCTCCCCGCACAAAAAGAAACTATGCTTTCTGCCAAGCAATGCCCAAGATGAAGAGTTTCTTCAGGGCAGGGCAATTGGAAATTTTATTTGCAGTACTTTCCAACTAAAGGGCACGTTGAAGGGTCATAGAATCTGGGTTGCTGTGAGTTTTCTGGGCTATATGGCCACAGACATGTAGCCGGGGGGGGGGCTTGAGGGGCTTCAGCCCCCCTCCCTCCCCGAAATTCTCAAGGTGTTCCGCGAGAATGCCTTACTGGTACATTATTTAAACTGTTATGTTTATTCATATCATGATCTGATCACCATGCTCAATATATCCCATATGCATGGGGTATTGGGGTAACGATACAAAAGGTTTGCTAGGGTAGACCCTCTTTCACTCAGACTCAGCCCCCCCCCGAATCAAACTCAGCCCCCCCCCCCCAATCAAAATCCTGGCTACGGGCCTGGATGGCCATGTTTCCTTATTGATTCTTATCTGGAATTCCCCTGCTTGACAAGAATCAATCAGGGGCAGCTAACACCTCCTAACAAAGGATCCCCCAGGTAGCAATCAGCCAGGCTCTGAAGCTGCAAGGCCATTCAATGCTATTCAAGGTGGCCAACTCCAACATTCACACTTTTCAAGCAGACAGGAGTTTTTTCTCCCACCCTGGACATTCCACATGCACAGCCTGAACCTTACTTGCCTAGTCTCCAACAGACCTCACAACCTCTGAGGATGCCTGCCATAGATGTGGGTGAAACATGCTTCTGGAACATGGCCATACACAGTGCCATAGCCAGAATTTTTTTGGGGAGAGAGGGAGGTTGAAAAAAAGATTTAGCGAATCATGAAGAGTAGTTCCATAACACAAAATAATTTAAATAGTATGGTTCATTCTATATTTTATATAGGGTAATGTTTGCTTCTCATAGACTTAGAATGGGGATTTGATTAACCAGTTACAATTCATGTGTAAACCAGGTTTTTTTAACCTGAAAAATTTGGGGGGGGGATTTAAACCCCCAACCCCCCCCCCCTCCCAGCTACAGTCTTGGCCATACAGCCTGAAAACTCACAGCTACTCAGTAATTCCAACCATGAAAACCTTTGACAACACAAGGTCATAGAATCATATATCTCATCTTGCCACTCAATATTTTACATTCTTATTTGAGTCAACTGAATATCTGGACATGTTTACATCTGAGCAAAAAAGAAAACATGCACTTTTTACCTGTCCAAAATTCCAAGGCCTTCCCCGAATACTTTTTGTTGATCCGACATAGATATAGCCAGAATCATTGAGCACATACTCAGTTCTTTGATCATCATCAGGCAAGAAAACAGAATCCGCTAAAGCAAACACAGAAGTATATATTACTTTTTTCTTCTTTTTCATATAACTGACAGTAAGTCTGGATGGAAAGTGGCACGCTTATGCTTGGCTGATCATGTAAGTGTGGCTGTTAGACTGTCTGAACTAATCCAACTAGAAGTTTTTTCACACCCTCTTGTCAGAATTGGGTCTTGTGAGGAGTTGCAGGAAAAACAAACTGCATCATCAACTACCAGATATACACAGGTTTTCAACATGTGCCTCCCTCCGCTCCAGAACTTCCCTCTGCAAGTGTTTCATAGAAATCCTGAACAGAGACTGCAACTGTGGCATCTCAGCCAGTGTGATAGTTGTATCATCCTTTCACATATCATTACTATTTCCGCCCAAGTTTGCTATTGAGGAGGAACAAGGAATGGAAGGTAGCAAAAAACAGAACCAAGTGTGCCAGCTGGAAAAGCTGACCACTTTTAAATTAAAATTGCAGTTTTTGTCTAGTTTTTGGCAAGGAAAGGGGGAGAGTCCTGGCAAACATGTAGGTTTTTCTTCTTCTTCTTGCACCATTTTCCAAAAGGGACAGGAACTTCCATTTTGACCTCATTTAGGAAATTGACAAATTCCCATCCTATTCCTACTGTGTTTATATTATTATTATTATTATTATTATTATTATTATTATTATTATTATTATTATATATTATTATTATTATTAAAAATGGCAGCCACAAAAACAAATCACTATGCTGGCTTGTTGTATTGGATCACATCGACACTTCCCAAGTGTCTAGGACTGTGTGATGTATTGGCGAATAATGCATGCAGATCCCAGTAGGGTGGCCTTCTGCAGCTGGCAGAGGTAATTTTGTCAGCGCTGATTGTGTTTAAGTGCAGGCCAAGGTCTTTAGGCACTGCACCCAGTGTGCCGAATCACCACTGGGACCACCTTGACTGGCTTGTGCCAGAGTCTTTGCAGTTCAATCTTTAAATCCTCATATCATGCCAGCTCTTCCAGTTGTTTCTCTTCAATCCTGCTCGGTCATCTGGGATTGCAACATTGACAGTCCACACTTCGTTTTTTAACACGATTGTGAGGTCAGGAGTATTGTGCTCCAAAACTGTCTCCATGGAACGGCCTTTGGCATATTCGCGGGTCATGTCAAAATCCATACTTTTAATCCCCATACCTGCCTTCAATTTATATATGAGGTTAATTTACACATGAGTATATATGGCACCTTCCTGTAGGTTTTTTTTTTTTGCCTTACAATTTTATTAGAGTGGAGGTAAATCTGATTACTTTGTATAGGAAAGGTTTTATAGAGATTGCTCACTCTTCAGGTTTTCAGTGCGAAGACACATGTGAAAAACAGAGCAATGTGTTGGCTTCAGCTATGACAGTTTTTCCTCCTAAAAGCAAGACTATGTTGTGGAACAACCTGAAGAACAACTGGCTGTCTGGGTAATATCAGGGATTACTAATTGCAATCAAGTGTGGCAAGTTCTTGGTGGTATAGGGATAACAAGTCACCTTGTCTAAATTCTGAGAAATCTTTATAACTACCAAGTAGCGACAGGAAGAACTGACCATGGAACAACAGACTGGTTCAAGATTGAGAAAGGAATACGGCAGGGCTGTATACTCTCACCCAACCTATTCAACTTGTATGTATAACACATCATGTGATGTGTGCGGCTTGATGAATCCAAGGCTGGAGTTAAAATTTCTGGACAACCTTAGATATGCAGATGACACCACTTTGATGGCTGGAAGTGAGGTGGAGCTGAGGAGCCTTCTAACTAAGGTGAAAGAAGAAAGTGCAAAAGCTGGGTTGCAGTTAAACATTAAAAAACCAAGACTGATTGATAACTGACAAATAGTGAGAGAAAATGTGGAGGCAGTGACAGACTTTGTATTTCTAAGTGCAAAGATGACTGCAGACACAGACTGCAATCAGGAAATCAGAAGAAGTTTACTTCATGGGAGGAGAGCAACGACTCATAAAATAGTGAAGAGTAGAGACATCACACTGGCAATGAAGATCGCATAGTTAAAGCAATGGTATTCCCCATAGTAACCTCAGATGTTAGAGCTGGACCATAAGGAATGATGTTCTTGCAACCCAGCTTTTGCACTTTCTTCTTTCACCTTGATTAGAAGGCTCCTCAGCTCCTCCTCGCTTTCAGCCATCAAAGTGGTATCATCTGCATATCTAAGGTTGTTATGTTTCTTCCAACAATTTTCACCCCAGCCTTGCATTCCTCAAGAGCCGCACATCGCATGATGTGTTCTGCATACAAGTTGAATAGGTTGGGTGAGAGTATACAACCCTGCCGTATGCCTTTCCCAATCTTGAACCAGTCTGTTGTTCCATGGTCAGTTCTTATTGTTGCTACTTGGTCCTTATACAGATTCCTCAGGATAAAGACAAGGTGATTTGGTATCTCCATACCACCAAGAACTTGCCACAATTTATTATGATCCACACAGTCAAAGGCTTTAGAATAGTCAATAAAACAGAAATAGATGTTTTTCTGAAACTCCCTGCCTTTCTCCATTATCCAGTGAATATTGGCAATTTGGTCTCTCATAAAATTAAGAGGCTAATAAAACCAGAGCAAAGGCCAGATGCTTACAAGAAGCCTCCAAGCAGGTCATAAGTGCTACATTCTTCCAGCAACTACTAGAGAGAGATGTACTGTCTCTAAAATGAAAGCAGTATACAGTGTAGCTATTACATTGTTGTGTGCCTTCAAATCATTTCTGACTTAAGGCAACCCTAAGATTTCCTCTGAGACTGAAAGAATCAGTTGATTACCCAGTGGGTTTCCGTGGTAGTAATAGAAATGTAATCTCGATAGGCGATGTTAATTACCTTCACACCAAGGGTTGAACAATAGGTAGAAATGCTTATCACAGCTATAAATGTTAGCCCCGGTGTCCACCTTCAGAGCGTATTTTCCAATAATGGCATCTGCTGGACTGGTTACAGCAATCAGGCACTAATTTTAAAAAAAGAGCATGATAGTATTACAATATTGCATATATTTCATTATCCTTTAAAATCCTCATTGCTTGCTGTAAATGTGAATATATCATATTCACATTTACATAAGATTTAACCAGAGTGTGTGTGAAAATGAGCAAGTATGAAGAAGTGATGAATGTGTATGAGTGTGAAAAAAAAGAGAACGAATGTGCATGGTTTATGTGTGGATACGGATAGATGTGAGACGGCTGAGCATAATGTTTGGGATCAGAAGTGTTTTTGGTTTCAGATTTAGTTTTGGATTTTGGAATATGTTTTTACAGGGTTTTTATAATGTGTATTAAAAGTTTTACTTTTGTTTTAATTTCTTTTATGTTCATTGTGGCATCAAATTGTGACAGTGTAAGCTGCCTTGAGTTGCCTTCGGGTTGAGAAAGGCGGCATAGAAATGAGGCAAATCAATAAATAAATAAATATGTGTTGCTTATTTATTTATTTACAATATTTCTACCCCACCTTTCTCCACCCTGGAGGGGACCCAAGACAGCTTACACATAGGTAACTATTCATTGCTATAAAACAATGTACATTGAAAATAAACATTCAAATAGAATTATAAAATACATTAAAACAATTACAAACATTATTGCTGGACATAATGAGATATCTTGGACTTGTAAACCAAGCCTAAACACAAAATGCGTTTATGTTTCATGGACACTTTATACATAAAGCCTGTAGATAATTTTATATGTAATATTTTATAATTTTGCAAATAAAGCAAAGTTTGTGTACAAGGAACCATTAGAAAGCAATTGTGTAACTATCTCAACCACACATGTAGACAGTTTAGGATATTGGAGTTTTTTGGATGATGGATTTCCAGATGAGAGATGTTTAAATTGTATTTGATAATCAATTTTTGAAAACTGCTTCTTCTTCTGATTCTCAACAAGGGTTCTTGTTTCAATTGTAACTGTAAAGTTCGTGAGCAAAGGAACAAATTTACATGAGTACCTGTTCCCAAATGTTCAGTGTTAGATTCACCTTTCTTGAGTCCCATGTGCATTTCCTAGTACCATGTATGTATCATAAAAGGAAAATATAAAAAGACTTGCCCTGATGGACAATTTCAATTATTTCAACCATGTTTGATGTGAAAAAAAAATCAAAATCAATAACTAATCTAATGAGACTTGTCAAGACAGGATAGGTACCTCCTTCCCATTTGTTTCACAGATTTTCGCATGCCATGGTTGATTACTTTGCTGAGACCTGGTATTCAACCTGGACCTGGTTTTCAACTGTGATTGTTGATTACTTTGCTCGGACCTGGTATTCAACCGCATCAAAGTTCCATTGGACTCTATTGGTTTATCACCTAGAAAAATACAAAATCACAAAAAGTAAAGTTAACAAACTAAATGACAGAATGACAGAGTAGTAGCCTATGGTTCCAGTCTCCATCTAAAATAACTCATCTAATGCATATAATACTGGCATCTAAGGTCCTCTATAGCACTGTAAATCCTCTTGAACCGCCATTGATGTCTCCGATGGAATGCAGAGACTTGTAGTTTAGTATCAGATAGTTAGCATTCTCAGCCCTAGTGCAACACAACATTTCATAGGATTCAGCCCTGCTGTTAAGGAGGAATCATAGCTGCTATAACGCCGTAGTGCGGACGAGCATAGACCAGATTGTAAAAAGGAAGGCGAGCTATTCCTGAAAGCGGAAATATGTGGGTCTTCCCTCAATGCTGACCCTCCTTCTTGGTGCCTCAGAAAACATCTCATTGTTAGTTACCTTCAAGTCAATTTCTACTTATGGGGAATGAGAGAACTCCAAGTTACCCTAACCTCAAGAGCCCTGCTCAGTTCTTGTAAACTTAGGGCCATGGCTTCTGTGATGGCGCAAGTGGCGCCACCTATGTGTAGAACTGTTAGTTGCAAGATTTAAACTGTTGTATCATGCTTAAGCCTGCATTTTTACCCTGTTTATGTATAGCTGGATTGGTTATTTATAGCTGTCAATCAATACTGTTTGGCTCCACCTCTTCCTGCAGGAGGGGAGTGCTTCCTTTTCTTTCATTCTGCCATCAGAGTTTCTACCACATGGACGTGAGCAAGAGACTTGACTCTAAAAGACCCTGATTAAATTACCTCTCAGCACCAGTTCTGAGGTTTTTTACCCTTGAGACTTATGCTTCATGTTCAGACCAACCTGAACAACGTTGGAAGTCTCAAGCGCCTTCAAACCAGTTCTTTTGGCACCAGAGGAAGATCCTGAGTCTTCAAACATAGGCCATTTGAACTGGGGTTGTGGTTTGCTCCGGCATTCACAGCCATTGAGGAAAGAGGAAATTTGGAAAAGCTTCTCAGCTTCAAACTCCTTGGACCCAGGGCTAACTGAGACTGTAACGTATATTTTCCTTCACCCCTCTGAAGTTTCCAGCTCATTGCTTTAAAGAAATAACTTTGTGATCAATAAAACTTATTTTGAGTTATTTACAGTGTTTTGGGTCTTTGGGAGTTCCAGTTTCCCATAGGAGGGCAAGAAGCAATCCCCTGGGGAAAGATGCCACGTCCATGCCTCCTTCATTAAGAATTATAGCCCCTAGGCGCAACAGCACAGCTTCTCTGTTGGGTTTATCCATCTACAATGCATTCTTCCTCTTTTCCTCCTGCCCTCAACTATACTAAACATCATTGTCTTTTGTAGTGAGTCATGTCTTCTCATAATATGGTGAAAGCATGGCAGCATCAGTTTAGTCATCCTTGTTTGTAGGGAGAGTTCAGGTCTGATTTGCTATATGGCTGGTCTCCAACACCATGTCTCAAATGAGCTGAATTTCTTCGCTGTCCAGCTGTCAAAACCATGTGTTAAAATAGGAAATACGCTGGCATAGACCATACTAATTTCAGCACTCAACAATATATTTTTACACTTCAGGATTCTGTTTAGTTCCTTCATAGCTGCCCTTCCAAGTCCTAGGTATGGACAGTCTTGAACTATTTCAATGCCTTTAACCACCTGCTTTAAAATGAAATGGTGTAGCCATTATTTTTGCTTTCATAACGTTTGACTGTAAAACTGACTTGACTTTCTTCAATCTCGCTCCAAGTCTTAGTGCCATTTTATTCACATTTCAATACCCTTGTCTTAAATCGGAACTTATAAACCAGTCAGAATAGAGCAAAGTTTTATGAATCTGCTTAAACTCCTTTGTACTTCCTCACTGCAGATATGGAATCTTTGAAAGACAGGTGTTTATGCATCTCACATCGTATGCTAGACATACTTTAAGGGACCAAATAGGGATAAGATTGCTTACCAGTACTGAGCTGCAGGATGACATTGTCACTATCATTCAGCAGTCTGTTAAAAAGCATCTTGATTGTGAACAGCTGTCCCCGTCGTACAACCAGGCTGGTGTTGTCATAGTCACAGGTACGATGGAGAGAGACATTCTCTTTTCGGAGGAAATCAACTCCAACAGCCTTCAGAGGACCTTATGGAAATAGATGACAATAAGGATTTCCCCCCTTTTCTTATTTTCTATTTGTTCTTATGTAAGGCAAATTGTATTTTCAGATCTCCCACTTTCTGATTCATACCCTTTGCAGAAAGGTTGGTTGTTTCTTGGGGGAAATGTATATCTTTATGAACAGTATAAACTGGAAGAAGGATTATTGTTTGTTTGCTTGGTTACCTTGTTTGTTTCTTCCATAACTATTTTGAAGAAACACACATGCTGGCCAAGATTGGGTAGTGTACGTGATACCTTACACTAATAGAACAACATTTTCTTACATTTCTGCTCCCTAGAGCTGCTGAGAATAGATCAGAGCTCCAATGGGAAAAAATCTGTGGAGAGAGGTTCGCAGTTGTAATTAATCAATGGAGTCCATTGATTAATTACATGAAACAAAATAAGATGAAGATTTTATTATAAGGCTTTCACTATATGGACACCTTTAGACTGTGATTATTTTCAGTTTCATGTTCTAATTTTATATTGTTGCACTCTTTATTTGTATTGGTTTTGTATCATATGTTATTTTCTTTTCTTATTTTTTGTTGTGTTTTTGTGTTATATTGTGTTACTGTATTGATGGACGTGGCCTCATGTAAGCTGCCTCGAGTCCCCTTGGGGAGATGGTGGCGGGGTATAAATACAGTTTATTATTATTATTATTATTATTATTATTATTATTATTAACAACAAATAAACCTTTTTTATCAAGGAAATCACTGCAGGACTGATACCCATGAGAACAAGGAATGGAAGACCGCCCCCCTCCATTTTTTTTACCACTCATCTTTCCTTTTCACTTCCCTTTCCATAACTCTACTTTTCCTTCCCTCCTCTTCTTTCTTTTCTTTTGGGGGGGGGGTCCTTTCTCTTCCCCTTCACCCCCCCCCCCCATCAAATCTAATTTTATTTTATGTTACTTCACTTGAACATTTAATAAAAACTATTAGGGAGAGAGAGAGAGAGAGAGAGAGAGAAGCTCGCAGTTGTTCTTCTTTAACAGAACTGCCCAATAGATAGGAGACCACTGCTGCGTGACTATGGGCAAGTAACCTAGATGGATATGCACCTAAGGGCAAAACAGGTGGCTTTGGGATCAGAGAGGAAGGGGTTCCTAGCTGCACAGAAGAGGAGGCAAATGAGGAACGTGCTGTTCTCCTGCTCCTGTGGGCCAGGAAAAGACTGCAAGTAAGCCTCCTACTCAATGTTGTATGGAGAACATTTGGACAACTGAAAGAAGCAATGGATTCTGGCAAAAGAGTGGTGCTGTAGTTGAATTGTTCCCATGTTCAGGTCTGGAATATTTGCCATGATTCATTCCTAGGTTAAAAAAACAAGTTTCTAGCCGTTAGGACTTCTCCTGGAGTAGGAAAATGTCCAACAAGAAATTTGCAATTGTCTCCTGGCACTCAATGTTCCAAAGTGTGGTTCAAAATGTATTAAAGAGAAAAACACATTTTTTGCACCAGTTCCCCCTTTTTTGGAAAACAAAAACTGAGTTTTCTTTCATACTGGAGGTCTAGAGAGAAAGCTTCTCTAGGCATTTTCCAGGTCCTCAACTCCACGCAACTTCTATAGTATGCTTTGCCTGAAAGTCTAAGACAGCATTAATTTCAACTGGGGAAAAAGGGTTCCAGACTACACAAAAATCACACTACGCAAAGGGTCCTGGAATGGCTCTCTTGTGTGATACGTGAACCAATGTATAAGCTTCTACATACCGCTTTAATTTTTGTGTTTTGTGATTCAGACTGTACCTTCAAATGATATCAGATTGATTAGATTCAGGGTAAAATTGTTCTACATAAATATATGGTTGCTAGACACTGCAGAAGACAGATAAAGGATGTAGTCTACTGTCAGAGCCACAGATGTACGATTGGATTCAGAGCTTGGGATTTATATATACATTGCCATTGGACACGGCAAATCACCCATCACCCAGTATAACCAATGACTATATTGGTTGAGGAAATCTAATAATTGTCTTCCAATTTAAAAAGTATTCTTTTTTCACTGCTCTTTGAAACCTGCTATGGTGCCAACAAAGAGGACAAAAAAGCAAACAATGGCCCATTTTGTAGATCATGGACAGAGGGGGAAATGTGTGCCCAAATAATCTGATTGATAGAGCTGTGATTTTCCATTTCTGTTTGATAAAAAGAGGGTGAGTCTAGAAGATCCATGGTGTTGACATTTTCAAAAAGGAGAAAGAGGTTTTTTCAGTCTGCCAAAGGCAATTAGAAGTTCAGAGATTTATGAGGGCAAAGAAGCTTGGAATGTCTGGTAAAACATTCCTTTCTTACTGACAAATATCAATTTGGGGGAAAAAGATTTTTACCTGGTATGAACCAGCTAAAGAAAAAAAGAGTCTTCATTATATACAAATATTTCTTGACGAATCAACACTGTAATGTTGTTTGTCATAGCCAGTCAACAGAGTTTTTATGTAAACAAGGTTATACATTCCTGTACTTTAGAAAAATGCTAGTTTACAAACTTTTTTCCAAAGGTTTTTTTCTCCATTCTGCAGAAAGCTAAGAATTAAAGGCTGGTTGATTTCCCATTTTTGGAAGTTGTTTTTTTTTAATTAAAAATTCCTTGTAACATAACAAAACTGGCAAACCCATTATGCAGATATTTCCAATGTTCTTGGAATGCCCCAGAATATTTTAAAATACATTGGACTACCTGTGTGAGACTAAAGATATTATGCAAAGATGTGATGACCTGGAGGTGAATTTGATGGGAAACTATAGGAAAAACCAAACGGGCAAATACTTGTTACCAGCACAGAAAGCAAATGTATTTGTCATGATTAAGTAAAATAAATACCCAGCATCAAATACGAATGCCAGTGAATTGCTCTTTCAATCCAGCATACTGTTTACAAGGATGATAGTCTTTTGTTTTGACTCACAGTAGATTTAAAGTGGAAAATCCTAGGCTCTAATTCAAAGCAGTGAATCAAAAGCTAGATTGTATGGTTTATCTCTGTCAGTCAGCAGAAGACTTTCTTTCCTGCTACTATTTATTACTACTATTTGTTTATTTAGTATTGTTGGCAGCATGTTAATGTCTGTCTTTTCATTTCTTTATGGACCGAAGATGATGGCTGTCTCTTTTTAAACAGATGTTGAGACCAACATGTAAAAGTTTTTCTCATTGAAAAAAGGGATGGCCTCACCCAGCTCAGCAAAGATTGAGTGAAAGTGTCTTCACTTTGGATGCCTTCAATCATTTTGTGTATCTTGTCCTTTTCATGAACTTGGCCTAAAGAAACTAGATATGTGACCTCCACAGTTAGCTTGCAATTAAACATGAGGAATTATCTAAGCTATGTGGTTGAGGTGGTATAGATGAGCATGCCTATTTGTGACTTGGGAATTTTCCTCTAACTGGTTGCTGAAAGATATATAAGACTTGTGTACATTCAATAAACTTGTCCCATTCATGCACAGATTGTGTAGCTAGTGTGTGTATTATTTTTAATAGCTCTGTACCTACTTGTTGTGTGGGAGGCAAGTGTTACAGTTACTTTATCTCACATCACCATTGTTTTAAACCAGAGGTTGATAGTAAATAGATCAGGATCCATTAATAAAACTGTTTACAGTGTATTAATAGGCACTTCTTAATTTTTATTAGAGTATATAAGTAGAATATAACATTTCACACTCACATTACAGAAAACAAAGGAAAAGACAAAAAAATTCCACATATTTACACCATTGTGGTGTAATCTATATCCTTAGCCTTTCCATTTTTATACATGTCCCATTTTATGTATTCCTTCCAACTATTGCTTGCACAGCTTCTTTCATATATTTTACAATTTTGGCCCATTCTTTATTCCTGTCTATACATTCTATTTTCTAGGTAATTTTTTGATTTTTATTCAACTCTATTTTTATTTCTAATATATCCTTCCTCTCACTTTTTATGTGTTTATAAAATTTTTATGACTTATCACAGTCCCACCACATATGTATGAAGGTTCCTATTTCACCACATTTATGCCAACATAGTTTTGATGTGCTTTTTGTAACATGGGCTAGTTGATGTGGGGGTTGAAATCATTTTGTCAGAATTTTCCATTGTGTTTCCTTAATCCTTAGGTGTTTAATTTTTTGGTTGTATTAATCCAGTTTTCAATGCCCTTCTCATTACTATTTAATTCCTCTTCCCACACCTCAATCAGTATGTTTTTCAAGTTATATTATTTTCTATTTTCCTAAATATAAATCCCACAATTCCCTTCTCCTTCGCTATTTTCCATTTTAACATTTGATCTAAATCTGCTTCTGGGCTTTCCTTTCTCTTCCATGCTTTGATCATCTGTGTCATTCCATGGCATAATAACGTTGTCCGCACTTGTCTTTTAACTATTCCCAATCTTTTATTGTTCCATCAGATTTTAAGTGGTCACCAGTCTTTATTAGTCCACTCTGTGTCATATCTAACAAGCACTTGACTTCCAATTGGTTCACAACAGCAAATATTTACTGCCATGACTGATTTTGTGGCAAACCTTTGTGACCAGGCTATCTAAATAAACCAATAGATCTTAAATGTGTTGCCAGATTGCTCTTCCACTCTTTTTTCCTTCGTATACCATCCTTGTATGTTACATTACTTGTGATATGGAACTTCATGCCACTGTATTACTTAAATAGGCAATGAGTTATGTATTTGTATACCGCCCTTTTCAGCCCTCAGGCCACGATTCGATGCCCAATACACCATAAAGCATTTAAATGCATGAACACATAATATAAAACCATAACAATTATATTAAAAACATACATCAATTACATCTCCTTATAAAAACGTTGTCCAATCTCATTGCCAAGTTGTTCCAATTCCTATGTAATTTACCTTGCATTTTCAAATGCTTGTTCAAACAACTAAGTCTTGACTCTTTTCCAAAATGTTAAGAGGGAGGGGCCAATCTAATGTCCCCAGGAAGGGCTTTCCATAGGCGAGGGGCCACCACTGAGAAAGCCCTGTCTCCCCCCCCCCCCCCCAAACATGTTTGTGATGCCGGCGGGATTGACAGCATGGCCTCCCTGGATGATCTTAAAGTCCTAGCAGCTTCATAAGGTAATTATGTATTTTAAGAAATATTCCTTTCCAACTCTAAACCAGGGATGAGTTCATTGGGATCTTAAAGGGAAAAGGAAGACATAAAATTATCCCAAAATAGTTCAGCCCTTCATGTTGTATGTGTGTCAGTGCAGATGACGCTGTTAATGTAATGTATAGTTAGATCTAATATTGCCATTAAAACATTACTCCTAAAGAAAGAAAAAAGAAAAGACAAAGATGCTACAGGTATCTACTGGGTCAAGAGTCCTTTCTAAAACATTATTTGCTCACAAAACTTGCGTGGTTGCTTTTTAAAGAGAATTACCAGCACCTGTCTTCTCAGTTAAATAAACAAAAAGAAAAGGAAATGCAGAGTATTAATTTGGCAGTGGGAAAAATACATAAGAAAGGTATTTCTTTTCTGTAGCTAATCATCATGCATACTTTCGTCATCAAAAACCATGTGCTTTGTCACTGCCAGGCAAAGTCCTTTATGGCAATTGTACTCTCAGTCAACAAAAGGTAATTCACAGCCTACTAAGGTTTCAGATATGCTATTTTGGCTGCTATCCACGTACCTTGGACTTAGCCTCACTGAGAACAATTGTGGGAAGATATGCACAGACCTTTACTATGAACATAACTATGTGAAAGAATAATTATTTTCTTTAAAATTACCATCTTTTGCTCATTTTTTTTAAAAGCAAGGGATCTATATGACTTCTTTGTACATATTTGATGCTAGCTTTTTTCATATTTCCATCCCCTATTTTCTCAGATATCATTTTATTTAATTTTCAATTAAACAACAGCAGAGATAGTGTGGACAGTTTTTGGAAGAAGAAAAAGGCAATAACACTGTACTATACATCACTTTCATAATCTTTTCAAAGGTAACGTAGCTTTCTAGTAAACATAGCAACCTATGCAGAACAGGTAGGATTGCTTTTAATATTTGTGTGTTGTGGCAACAATTTGTATGCTTATATTAATTTGTTAATCTTATGGTTATGTTGTTTACTTTGTATGTATTGATGATGTTAGTTGGAAACCACTCTGAGTCCCCTCGGGGAGACAGAGTGGTATATAAATAAAGTTTTATTTTTTTTATTTATGCCGAATTCTTGAACCACTTCACTATTCTAACTGTATACCAATCTATACATTAATAAATACATATTAGTATGTGGCAAATTAGACCTTCCTCTGAAACCCTAAGAAAGGAATTCAAGTCTCAGAGTCTAAGTGTCTGGTAATATTACTGGTAAATGTATAGGACTATTTTAGTTATGTAGCATGCAGTTCTGGATTCTTTCAGGCTGGAGGTATTGAATCAGAGCAAACAGGGTGAAAACGACTCAAATGGAGTCAATATTTCCTCATGTACTCACCAGGTGTCTGGCTCATAATGCCTTCTGGGCTTTGCTCCTGGACGTTTTGAAAAGGCACGAGTGATATGCACCACAGGTTTTCCTCAAGGGCTGAAGGAACCTTCTCCCTTTTATCCAATTTGTTGAGGTGTCAGACTGTGCCCAGTCAGTGGGTGGTGTTTGGAAAGAGGGAGTTGCTGAAACATAAAATAATGACTTAAACGTCTCACGAAACCTAAAAAATAGCTATAAGAAATCCATCAAACATAGCTCTGACAGGTGGCTTATCTGAAATGAAAAGGAACCTGTGAACGTATTCTGTTTTTTTCATCCACAAAGGGAAATAGTATTCAAATGTGGAGAACCCAAGGGTGGTGATTTCCATGTCAGTGGGGTGGTTAATACAATCTGTGTTTTTGCCTGAACTTTAAAGGAACTGTCCATGTATTGAATGTTACCTTCGAAGTAGTTTCAGCACCTCGGAGAGCTCACTTAAAATCTGGGATAAAACACAGAAAAGATTATCCACATCTCTAAGATGGACGCCTCCAGCTGCCACCTATTAGGGTCTCTTTCACACTAGATTAGGGGTGTCAAACTCATTTACCTTCAGGGCCAGCTCAGCATAATTTATGGTTGCTTTCAAAGGGCTGTTGGATCCATGGGCCTGAGAATCCAAGGATACAAATGGAAAATGTAATTTTTAACATAGTGGTTGGTGCTCTTTAGTTTGTACCCAGTTTTAGGTCTCCAGATGTTATGATTTTTATGATATTTTACTTATTTTAATGTATAATGTATATTTTATTTGTATATTTATGTTTATTGTGGCATTGAATTATTGCAGTTTGGAAACTGCTCTGAGTCCCCTTTGGGGTTGAGATAGAGTGGGGTATCTCCATCTGGACAGGAGATAATGGGAATTGTGAGTGAACCATACTTGTGCTCTGAGGTTGAGGAAGTTTAAAGAGCATTTTAAAGTCAGACATCATATACACAAGCCTTATATCTAAATTTAAACCCCACCATCGTAAGCAAACAGAGCAAACGGCAGCTTTCCAGATGTCACTGTATTGTAACTCCCATCAGCTCTAATCATGATGTCTAATGATGAGGAATATGGGCGTTGTAGTCCAGAATCTGGAGGTTCACATAAAATGACATGGCAGGCTGAATTATTTATGTATTTATTTACCATATTTATATACTGCCCCTCTCAGCCCAGAGGCAACTCGGAGAGATTCACAATTTGGCAGCAATTCGATGCCTCAACAATTATAACAAGTAAAACAATCATAAAATTCCCACTCTTTCCATGTAAATGATGTACTATGACTTTTTTTCCGATTCATTTATTCTTTTCTCTTTCTATCCGCTCCATCTAAGGAGCAACATATTCCAAATAAAAATATTTAATAAAAACAATCATAAAATTCCGTTAAAAACAATAGCAAACACTATAAAAATATAAAAACCGTACAAAGTCTAAAAACATTATCGTGAGCCTCTCCATGTCAAGGCATTATTCCATTGTGTTATCAAGTAGTTCCATGATTCCATAAAACTATGCCGAATTTGGGAAGACCTACTCAAAATGCCAGGTTTTTATATTTTTTCGAAGTCAGGAGGGAGGGAGCCGATCTTATATCTCTAGGCAGGGCGTTCCACAGTCGAGGGGCCACCGCTAAGAAGGTACTGTCTCTCATCCCCACCAGATGCATCTGCGAGGAAGGTGGGACCAAGAGCAGGGCCTCCCTAGAAGATCTTAGCATCGTAGATGGTTCACAAGACCCCGTGGGCCTTGATTTTAAGACATGTGCACTAGATGATCAGGAGACTGAGTTGCATCCTGTGGGATCCTGAATTTTGTAGTCTGGTGATGCACCAGAGCTCCCTGGCTGAGAATTTTAAGCACCTGTCTCTAAAGGGAAAATAGGATTCCATAGGATGGCAGTTAAAGGCCAATTATAATATTGTAGTCATTTTTTAGGTCTTCCAGTGTGATTTTATGGCAAGCCTCTGCTGGAAGTTGACAACAGAATTGCATTGGAGACCTAGAAAAGCGAGAAAGGTATTCTCTCAGTGGATTTTCTAGGTCCTCTTGCAAGATTCTATTGTATGTTTCCACCAGAGGTCACTCATTTCAATAGGGTTCATTATTATCTGCAGATTGATATTTCCATGGTAAGTCCAGGAATGCATTCCCTGTGGATATGGGAGTTGCACTGCATCCTCCTTAATAACACTGAAATACCCTCCTTACAATCACTGTACCTTGTGTGTTGTCTTCCTAACTCTTTTTCCAATGGAACACACATTAAATAACACTGAAACACCAGCTGCAATAACCTCTATGGCATGTCTCTCTGTATAATATTATGCTAGATGGCTGTGAAATCCCCCTAAAAAGAAAAAAGGTTGACAGATTTTTTTAAAAATGTATTTAAAAAAAACACTTGGCTTGACAGGAGCACGTCAGACTTTGTGGAAAGATATGAAACGGAGAAGAGGAAGAGATTGGGAAAGACATGAGTTACATGTTCAAGTCTTGACTGACTAGGGAAAGAAGGAAACGGGAAGTAGTATGTGTCAGCTTTGTAAGATTGTTGGGTCTCCCCCAAAGGTGAGCTTTTTACTGCACTTAGAGAGCTGTGTCTTATTAGATACCATTAGGAAATCATTCCAAGGAAGGTAGATTACACAATTATATAGGTGGTGTATAAATGCAATGCCATCATGATACTTCTATAACACCATGGAGAAAAGAAACCAGTCTCCATATTTGTTGGAACAAGCTAGAATACATAGAGAAATGTGTATGTGGTGTTTGTATGTGTCATGTCACTGTGGAAGGAAATGAGTGGAAAGCCATCACTACACAAATTCAAACAAGTGTTCTGCACTTTTTGTCATATATTGGTCCAGATTTTAGCTGTAGAAACTGATATGAACAATTAGTGTGTGAAATATTAAATCAAATGCTCATCAAATTAAGGAGATATTGGAATGTTTGAAAACGAGAGTTTGAAAAACTGTGGAAGAGCAAAATGACAGTGAAATGGCATAGTTACGATGGTGGGAATTCACATGAGATTTGAAATGTAATCCAGCAAGCTTAATTTAATGTTGTGATATATTCCAGAACGAAAATTATACTAACTGTGATGGGAATGAAAGGATCAGTCAGTCTCAGATGTGCATCATATGGATGCTAAGAAGGTTGATGTGCATCATATGGATGCTATAGGGTTACAGCCTGTGTTGGATGGGGTTATACTCCCTCTGAAGACGCAGGCTCGCCACTTGGGAGTTCTTCTGGACTCATCACTTTGCCTGGAACCCCAGGTTTCAGTGGTTGCCAGGGAGCATTCGCACAATTAAAACTTGTGAGCCAGTTGTGCCCATACTTTGGGAAGTCAGACTTGGCTATGGTAGTTCATGCTCTGGTTACATACCAAATAGACTACTGTAATGCACTTTACATGGAGCTGCCTTTGAAGACTGTTTGGAAGATACACATCGGCTGCAAGAATTCTAATAGCACAGAAATGGAAAAGCAAGGAAATTCCATCTAATGAAGACTGGTTAAAGAAAATAACAGATTTCAGGGACCTAGATAGGCTTTCGTACCAATTAGAGGACCAGAGTAAGGCTAAACAAACTAACTGGAATCATCTGGGAGAGTACCTGAAAGATAAAATTAAATTGGACATATAAGGTTCTATGGGCAAGACAAACAGGAGTCTTAATTTGCTATGAAAAGAACTGTATAATGAGATGTTTATTCCTTTTCTCCCTTCCCTCTCTGCTTTTCCCACACGGTCTGTCCAAAATTTCTTATCTTTCTATCACGATGACTGTTCCCCCTCTTTCACTGTAAAAGGAAAATCTTATAAAAATAATTTAAAAAAAGAAGACTGTTTGGAAGATACAAATGGTCCAACGGGTGGCAGCCAGATTTCTCAGCAGAGCAGCATACAGGGAGCATACAGCCCCCCTGTTACGTCAGCTCCACTGGCTGACAATCTGCACAATTCAAAGTGCTATTTTTATCCTATAAAGCCCTAAATGGTTCTGGCCCAGCTTATTTGTCTGAAAGCATCTCCCTCTATGAACCACTGTGGAGTTTAAGATCATCTGGGGAGGCCATGCTCTCGGTTCCGCCTCGCTTGCAGGCACAATTGGTGCAGACGAAAGACAGGCCTTCTCAGTGGTGGCCCCTCAATTGTGGAACTTCCTCACCAGTGATGTTAGATCAGCCCCCTCCCTTCTGACCTTCTGCAAGAGAGTGAAAATTACACCAACCCTGGTCATTCCACAGATATATAAACCCTTTTTCCTAGTTCCAACAGACATCACTACCTCTGAGGATGCTTGCCATAGATGCAGGCGAAGCGTCAGGAGAGAATGCCTCAAGAATATGGCCATATAGCCTGAAAAAACTACAACAACCCAGTGAAAATGTGGCTTTGTGACCAAGCCTTTAGAGAACATGTGTAATGACTTGGAACAACATGCAATGACCATTGGAAAGGCCTAGATTATGCTAGTGGATTACGTGTTTGAATGTATTGTTTTTAAATGTTTTAATTGCTTGAATGTACTTTAAAATTCCATTTTAATATTTATTTAAGTGTACATTGTGTTTTAGGGTATCAAATTGTTGCCTGTAAGTAAAGTCGCCTTGAGTCTCCTCTGAGGTGAGAAAGGCAGGATAGAAATGTCGTAAATAAATAATAATGAATAAATAAGAAAATATGAACAACTTTGGATGATCCAGCTCTTTAAATTTTGCAATGCTCTGCTTTTGGATCCCTTCTTTCCTGTTTTAGTTGGCATGTACAATGTCATATTATAAAAAAGGGAATAGGGCCCCCAAAAAGAACACACAAGCCATTGAATACTAATTTTAGACAATGTTTGAAAGGCAATTTTCGAAAACAGTGTTATTATCAGTTGGGAACTGTAATATCCTAGAGTTTTTTAAAGTCACAATTGTAGAAGATTATTCACAAATTTCTTTGCACAGCAAAGATTGCAAGCATCAACACCTTCTGCATTTGTAATAGGCTACACCTACGGCAAATAATACCTCTCCAACAATTCCAAAATGTACGTTGCTGAAAAGTTAATGAGAAGCACAAATATTGATTGTGAGCAAACAATTTATGGACTGTAATTGTGCGGAACAAGAAGA